TAAGAGATAAAATAGATATAAATATTGTAACTGTAATTCTTACTTGATAACTGTTTTGTTATATGTAATTTTACTATGTTAAAGTTAAAGCCTTTCTTTTTTGTTTAAACAGAAAAAGGGGAAATGATGTGGGAGTGATTTCTTATTAATAAAGAAACTGCCTTGGCCCATTTTATTGGATAGAAAATTAGGTAGGCGGAGTAGACAGAGGAGAATGCTGGGAAAAAGAAGCTGTGTGAGGAGTCGCCATGGTTCTCCCGTTCCAGACAGACGCAGGTTAAGATCCTCCCTGGTAAGCCAGCTCGTGGGCTACACAGAATATTAGAAATGGGTTAGAACAATATGTAAGAGCTAGCCATAAGGAACTGGAACTATCCGGGCCAGGCAGTGTTTGAAAGAATACAGTTTCCGTGTAATTATTTCTGGGTATAAGCTAGCCATGCGGGCGGCAGGGTGCCGGGGACGCAGCCCTGCCGCTCCTGTTTCAACAGATGTAGGGAACGTCTGCCATCGAGGGTTTTCAGGTGTATTGATCTGGTTAATGCAGCAAAGGCCATCTTTGTCCTGGAATAGCTCTGTTCCAAGACTTATATTAGAGACAAAACAAAAGCTAACGGCTCCTAAGGTCACAGCACAAGCCAAAAGGAAACACTAACAAGGAGTGAGAAGTGGGCTACAGGTTTTCAGACGTCCCCTTCCCTTGAGTTCCACGATTTCACCTGGGACACCACGGCCTTGGCTGAGGTGTTTGCCTCAGTGCTGGGGAATGCCATAGAAACCCACAATGACTCACTTTCCTGGCAGAGGCGGGTCTAGCCGAGGTCAGCACTTAATGTGTGGGTGAAGGCCTTTCCTTTGTGTGGTTTTCCCCCAAGCGTTATCGAAATATCCAAGCCATCTGGGTGGTCTGCCAAAACTGCTGCTCCCTCAGCCCCAGTCCTGCCGGAGCAGTGACAGGTTCACGGTGCCACACTCTGCTCAGGGTGGAAGCACGTGACAGCGGGATCCCTTTCCAAACCCCACAGAGACATTTGTCATGCACTCATTTGCATATTCATGTGTAGGTATTTCTGGAGTCTCTGTGCCAGGCATTGTTCTAGGTTCTGGAAGGGCAAAAGAAAATAGGCGAAGCCGGGCGGTGGTGGCGCACGCCTTTAATCCCAGCACTCGGGAGGCAGAGGCAGGCGGATCTCTGTGAGTTCGAGGCCAGCCTGGTCTACAAGAGTTAGTGCCAGGACAGGCTCCAAAGCTACAGAGAAACCCTGTCTCGAACCCCCCCCCCCCAAAAAAAAAAAAAAGAAAGAAAATAGGCGGGCCAGTGAGGTGGCTGAGCAGGTAAAAGGTGCTTGCGGCCAAGCCTGACGACCTGAGTTTGATCCCTGGAATCCTACTACACACACACACACACACACACACACACATGCATGCACACGCACACACACGAGTGCACACACACACATGCATGCACGTGCATGCACACATGCATATGTGTGAGCACACACACACCCACACCACTAAATAAACGAGATAGAGTAAGAAAGTTTTAAGTAGATGAGTGAAGGTGGTATAGCCGCAGTTCTGTGCTGAAGGTGACGGTGAAGAAGTAAGCCAGGCAACCCAGAGTCACACACTGAGAAATGTTAGGGAGGAAAGGCGTGCTGACCATACAAGGATAGAAGAGAGTGGGGAACTCTAAAGGACATGGCCAGGTAGGTTTCTCTGGGGATGTGACCCACCTGAAGCCGAGACGTTGTGCTCCGGAGGAAGGGTGAAGGGTGGTGAGCACGGTGCTGGCGTGTGTGAAGAACTTCGGTGTGAACGAATGTGGCTGGGGGGGGGGGGGATACAGGCTGGCGCTTGGGTGGTTTGTGTTTGTCCTGTTTAGGCACTGAAGTCAGGGGTGGTAGGCCTTGGGGAGGAGCCATGTGAATTAGGAACCAAATCTTCCTCAGATGAGACGAGACAGGCAGGAGTGGGATTTACGCGATGCAAACCCAGGTAACAGGAGACTTGAAGGATGTTTCCACACACAGGCAAAGTGACGGACAGTACGCTGGGGGAAGCAGGTGGAGCCCTCGGAAACATCCTGAAGAGAGACGGTAGCAAGGAAAGGACACACCCAGAACACCCAGGGAACAGGGAAGAGCAACGGATAACCTGGAGGTGCAGGTCCCGTTTGTCCCGAAGAGGGGCCTACTGGCTGTAGGAGAAATGTTAGCAGAGCAGCGTGCGGGGGTGGGCGCAGGGTTAAGCTTCGGAAGGCCTGAGCTCAGGGAGGCTAGAGCACCAAGGGCACGTCTCAGATGGACAACACAGATAATCTGCACACAGGCGTGTCTTCTCCAAGCTACGTAAGAGAACTCAGCACTCTCCCACGGGGCACCCTGGATTCCCAGAGGCCAGTAGCCCTGTCAGTTCCTCTATCCAAGGGAGTCAGGGCCAGGTTAGGCAGCAGCAACTGCCTGCTGTCGGACATGAAGACCGTGGCTGTCCGAGGAGGGCTTTGTGGGAAGTGATACAGGAGGCTCACACTACTTCCAGATCCAGCGTGGGGCAAGCCTGGCAGGACCGAGGCAATGCAGCTCCAGCGGAAAGAACCATGTCTGAACAGAGCCGCGGGAATGGGCACCATGGAGTCAACAAGGTTGAGACTGTCGTCCGGTTGTGCGTGCGCACTCTCGAAAAAGACAAAAGCTTAGAGAAAATCTGAGATGCTCTTATGAGTTAATGGGCATAACTGGAGCCATATTGACCCTGAGGTAGTTACAGCTTTCTGCTTCTCCATGTGTACAAGGGGGACAACAGTGTGCGCCAGCCTGAGACGCCACACCTAGCACTCAGTCGGGCTAGTGATACTTGTCAGGGGCTTTGGGATTAAATGAGAAGTGTGCAGATGTTTAGGAAGTCGTATAGCATCGCAAGTGCACCTGGGCTAACCTGCTCCCAGAAGGACAGCTGTCTGGCCTGGTTAGTGCTTGGGTGGGAGGAAGGATTACACGGAATGGAAGGCAAGTTACAGTTTTCGTAATGATGAGGGCAAAGACCTTCCCGATGAAGGATAGAGAATTCCTTCTGAAGGGCAGGCATTTCGAATGGCATCTTGATCTGAAATACCCACTTTTAAAATATCTCAGTGTCATCTAAAATATCCTGGTCATCATTGTAGCTCACAGGGTTTGCAGCTGGGTGAGCCTGTTGGCGCTCCCCTCCTCCGCACCCCAGCAGGCCACAAAACACCTTCCACTACCGAGAGGTAGGCAGCCAAGAGGGGGTTTCCTGGTCAGTCCTAGCTTGTTTTTTTTTTTTTTTCATGTCCTGTGACCAAAGTGTGTGGTGTCTTCAGCAATAGGATCTTCTTTAATGTCAAGTTCTGGTGGGCAGCCAATACTAGTGACAATAACGTGTATTTTTTTTGGGGGGGGGAGGTCCTCTGGGACACCTTTAACCAACAACTCAGGGAAGAGTCTCTACACCCAACACTGGGCTTTTCATTTGGCAACCATGACTTCTGGGAGGAGCATAACCCTGCGGGGTAACTCCAATTCAGCTCTTAAAAGACTGCATCCCCAGGGTCAGTTATCTTCCCCCTCCTTTTTGTCTGTCATTAGCCCCCCCCCCCCCCCCCCCCGTTTTGGTTCTCTGAGATAGGGTTTCTCTGTAGCTTTGGAGCCTGTGCTGGAATGCGCTCTGTAGACCAGGCTGGTCTCAAACTCACAGAGATCCACCTGCCTCTGCCTCCCAAGAGCTGGAATTGAAGGCGTGCGCCACCACCGCCTAGTTGGTCATCACTCTTATGTGACTCTTAGTGTTGAATCTTCAGTTCTGTGTCTTTAACTTGGAGTAGCCATAGAATACAGAATCCTAGAAAGGGACCGCTGAGGGCGGGGGAGAGGAGAGATCCTTGTGGGTCGTAGTGGGACACAGACGACAAGAAGGTGAATAGAGGACAGTGGGGAGGGAGGTCTGGGTGGGAGTGGTATTAAAATTCCTCTTATTATACCAGATTACATAAGGCCGTTCCCCCTGGGCTTGGCTCACACTGGTTTTGAACAGTTCTATAGAATGTTTACAAATGTTTAACACACGGCAGGCCCGGGTCAGCTGGAATCATCTGTACTAATATTTCTGCTTGGGTGGCCCTAACATGAGGAATGATGTCCTTTGGGAAAGTTACATATCTGTAGCAGTTCTGGGAATCAAAACAAATCAAAAAACAGCAGCAGGCCGTGTTAATAAAACTCAGTGCTGCCCTCTACTTTCAGAGAGAAACCTTTACTACTTTGGAGAGTCCTCTGGGAGTGTCTGTAGTTTCTACTTCCCGGCTCGTTCTCTTCACAAACTGCAGATCAAGAAGTGGTGTCAACAACACCACAAACCTAAAAAATGTGTTGATAGAAACCTATAAAGGAGAAGGTGGGAAGCGGTTTAAAGCAATTTATGTTGCGTTTACAATCAGTTGTTTTGGGCAATGAAGTGAATAACCGCTTTGAATTGAGGAGTGGCAGGAAGTTGTCAACAGGGTTAGAAAGAAAAATATCATTCCTTGGCAGTTAAGCTAGTTACTTCGGCCCACAACACTAGCATCTCACACTTACAAACCTGTTCGGTAAGGTACCAGCCAGACAAGCCTGGCGGCCCGAGTTCCAGCCCCTGAACACACAGTGGATGCAGAGAAGCTTCTCCTGGAAGGTGTCTCTGCCAGCAGCATGCACCCTGTGACATCCTCACACCCCACACATGCACACGTACAATAATGGTAAAATAAAAATCTCAAGCCCCAGGCAATGCTTCTGAAATCATGTGTTTTTTTTCTAAATGTGTACGATTGTTTTGTTTGCATGTGCCTGCGTTCACCCCAGGAGTGCCTGGTACAGAGGTGACAGAGGGACTCAGATCCAGGAACTGGATTTGTAGATGGTTGTGAGCCATTGGGAACTGAACCCAGGTCCTCTGGAAGAGCAGTGTCTGTTTTTATGTTTGGTTGGGTTTTTCTCCTGCCAGTCCCATCATGCAAGCTGTAGCCCCAGCTAAAATCATGTATAAGTGACTGACTACCTGAGTGTCTGAATTTATGGGTTAAGTCTGTAAAGGACACCACTTTAATGCCATGTAACATTTAATACAGAAACTTCACAATACAATTCCTTGGCTTGTTTTAAACTAAAATCCTGCACACATCAATAACCAAAGTCAGTTCTAGCTTCATATTTATTCATTTGAGACAGGGTCTCATGTAACCCAGGCTGGGGTTAGGGGAAGCAGCCATGGCTGCCTCAACCCTCCCTGGTTTTATTATCAACTAGAAGTATTCTTCATAGGAGAAATGTGGTATAATTAAACCCTCATGTATATTTCCCCATTTCCTGACACAGAGGAGGTTCTTATTCACAGTTAATATAGATCACACGATAATATAGAAATTACGTGTTTAGATTAAAGAGGGAAAAGAATACTATTAAAGCCAAACTCCCAAATAACGTAGATTTCACTTGAAGAGCAATTTGATTAGTATGTTGACTTTCAATAAAATCAAGACACCAATAAAATCCTGAACTTCTTGGCCAATGGCCTGCCTGTGGGTATGAAACACTTCGCAGGGTAAACTGACCATCATGAGGCAAGAGACTGACCCCTAGTGGTGGCGAAGTAGAAGGTCCCCCTTCGGCCAACCAGACCCAAAGCTGTCAACCCCCATTTTCTCTCGCTCAGGCCGTGAACGAACATTTTAATCCAGGAAATATCTCCTACATAAACACATGTATATGATAAAAACAAAAACACAAAAACAAAACAAAACAACAACAACAAAAACCACTTTAAGACAACTTTTTCTGCAACACAATTGTTCATAGTATCAAAAGAAAAATGCCTTAAGATTGCACTTTTCCTACTCCTGTAGAACGAGTATGGAGCCTCCAAACAGACTTGTAGGACGCGGTGGAGTGCCAGGTCGGAGGGAACTACCAGAAAAGGATTTACCACACCCTCTCCTCCCCGCCCCCCACCCGCCCCCACCAGAAACTCTGGAACCCTGGAGCCGCGGGCAAAAAACAAGTTTTCACTCAGCACCCCGAGGAATCCGCTAGAGCTGGAGGGATCCGAGAGCCCTCACCTTTCAACTCAGAGCAGCCGCGCCAGCAATTCTCTCCGGAGATTTGCGCCACTCTCCTCCTTGACAGCCGAGCTTCTTCAGTGAGCGTGAACTCAAAATTCAGCGCTCGTCCACCAAAATCTGACATCGGTATCAATACCCCAAGCCTACCCCCAAGATTAGCAAATGCCTCAGGAAGAGAAAAGAATGTTAAGGCCAGGGGATGGGGACGAGTGCTGTGAAATGCTTTTGAACGTGTCGTGGCTACCGAACTCATTAACCACAGCTGCAGGACTGCGCGTAAGACTTGTCCAAGGTCAAGCCAGTCAAAATTCCAAAACTGAAGCGCACGCGTGGGAGGGGGGCAGCGGCTCACAAGGCCCCACCGTTAGCTAAGGAGCTATTGGCGGTGGCGGCCCAAGTCAGGGGTATTTTTTTTTAGGGGTGTGGGTACAAGCATATGGGCAACACTAACTTGGGTTCTGAAGGGGAAGGAAGGCAAGTAGGGAGCGGTACCTGCTGTGGGGAGGGGTCTAGGGGAGATTAAATGGGGAGCGCAGGGCTTATGATCAAAATACATTGTACACATGCATGACATTCTCTAATAAAAATATTATGCTAGAAAATCTCTCAATCGAGGCAGAGGCAGGCAGATCTCTGTGAGTTCGAGGCCAGCGTGGTCTTCAGCGCGAGCTCTAGGACAGGCTCCAAAGCTACACAGAGAAACCCTGTCTTGGGCGGCGCAGGAGGATCTCCCTATGCTGTATTTTAAGCTTAAAATAAGGAAAGTTTAGCAAAACATCAAGGCTGACATTTTGACTCTGATTTCAGGGCTACTCAGCACATGCCGAGTATGTATGAAACTGTGGGTCAAACGGTAACAATACAAAAATCGAAACAGCAAAGCTGAGTCCACAAATTCGTATCATTCTGTACATCGAAACATCTGCTTTAAGTGAAACTCCAATGACAGGAAAAAATTTTGCTCAAAATTTCTCCAGGCTAGGATATAGATCAGAGTTAAGAGTGCTTGCCGAACATGATCAAAGCCCTGGGTTTGAGTCCCCAGCACACCACACACACACACACACACACACACACACACACACACACACACGCACACATCACACAGGCATGCACACTTGCGCATGCACATGCATGCACACACACACGCACAACATGCTCTCACACACACCATTAAAATGTAAAGGTGGGAAGGTCAGGTCAGGGAGCTGGGAAGATGTCAGTAAAGTGATTGCCTTACAAACACGAGTCTGGAACCCTGAACCACATAAAAAGGCAAGCGAGGTGACATGTGTTTGTAATCCCAACATGGGGAGACTGAGATGGAGGATTCATGGGATTCACTGGTCAATTAGACTAACTTACTTGGTCAAACTCTAGGCCAGTGAGAAACTTCATCTTAAAAACAAAAACAGCAAACAAAAGGAGAGACCTGAGGACCACTCGGGGCTATGTTGATAGCCTATGTACCCACAAGCACACTCAGAATTTCAAAGTTAAATTTTGGTAATCTACATTTTATTCCTAGACGATAATATAAAGTCACAAAACTACTCACTAACACCAAGTTCCTATAAAAGATTTTCATGTCTTATTTATCCGGGGAAAGAATGATGCTCAGCACTGTACGGAGGTCAGAGAACAACTGCCAAGAGACGATTCTTGACTTCCACAACCTAGGTCTAGGGATCCGATTCGGTTGTCAGCTTGTTGGCAAGGGCCTATACTACTGAACCATCCCACCCCGACCGTTTTTCCAGACAAGGTCTTCTATCATAGGCTGATCCTGAACTCTCAATATAGTCAGGAGAATCCTATTGTCTCCAACCCCTAAGTGCTGGGGTTACAGCTGTTTGCCACCATGCCCAGCTTGTGTTGAGTTTGAAATCTAGCCATACGGTTCTAGCATTTTCCTTTTTGAAACTATATTACAGAAAAATGTTGCAAATAAAAATAACGTCACACGCTGAGATAAACCAGACTGAGGCCACATAACTCGAATGAACTTCTATATTTAGAACATCCATTTGGAACAAAAACAGTGATGCTTTAAGTGGGATTTTGTTCTTTTGTTCACAACTGAGTATATTTTTGTGCACTTATCCACCCCCAAAATGAAAAATCCATGGCAAGAGTGGAACTAGAAAAACAAGATTTACACCCAAGCATAAGCGTTCTCATCACCTCCAGTCCTTCATCCCCTAATACTTAGCCTCCCGTGTTCTCTTCATGCATGGTAACCTCTACCCAAACATACATTTGCTTGCAAAAATACATGTCACATTGGCTAGGCTCCACCTATGAGAGAGAAGACGCTTTTTTATGAGATTGTGACTGCACAAAATATTACTGTCTGTCTATTCTATAAGTGTTGTGACCATATCCTTCGTTAGAGTGAAGAGAATTCACTACTCCCAAATTTTCACTGTCCACTGTTGATGGACAAACAGGTTGATTCCAGTTCTTTCCCATTCTATGTGAACGAGGAAGACAGCAATAAACACAGAGGTGCATCTATCTATGGTAGGCTATGGTGTTCTGTGGGTATAGATCCAGGAGTGAAAGAGGTGGGTACTATGGCAATTCTATTTTTAATTACTCGAGGAATCTCAAAACTGATTTCCATAAAGGCTGTATTACTTTCGCCCCAACCCTTTGTCACTTACCGACAGCTGCCATTCTGACTGGGTCAGGAGGTATCTCAAAGTAGTTTTAATTTGCATTTCCCTGACATGGATATTGAACACTTAAAAAAAAATTTTTTTTTCGAGACAGGGTTTCTTTATGTAGCCCTGGTTGCCCTAGAACTCATTCTGTAGACCAGGCTGGCCTTGAACTCACAAAGAATCGCCTACCTCTGCCTCGATTGATGCTGGGATTAAAGCCCTGTGCTACCCCCACCCAGCTTCTACAGGATGCTTCTTACACAGGTCTGGACTGCCTATCTACTGTGGTGTAAAGGAGCTAACAAACTCTCTAACTTAGTAGATGCGTCTGATAGTTTTAAATTTTCTATACCCTAGAAAACATCATACCAAATCTCTCTTAGATAAGTATAGTCAACTGTTTCTCCAATACTAAAAATAGCAACTGGAGCGAATACGTGCTAGTATCAGCAGAGCCTGAACTGCCAAGTGAGGATGGCACTCTGTCACACTTCACCTGCCCAAATCTTTCCTTCTGAGCCCTAAGAACAATCGGTCCAATCAGAAGCACCGGCGGCTTGCTCTCCCATTCCACTGGGGAAAGTCAATTATCATTTCTAAGCACAAAGTGCAAAATCAACGTTAGTCTGGGGGGAGAGCACACCATGTTCTGAGTTTCTTCTTCCTGTGGATTGCCAAGACGCAGGAAAGCTCTGTGGAGCCTACTCTACATCTAGTAAGTGTCTGCCAAGAGCAACAAGGCAAAGTCAAAACCCGTGAGCTTCATTGCAAACTGGCCACACCCCGCGTCCTTACTGCCTCTCCTTGGTCGTTCTCCCTGGCGAGAGAACACTGCAGGTCTGTTTCCTGTCAGTCTTATTAGCCGTATTTAGTATGACTTAGTGTGTTACAGTAGATCTGTGGCTCCGCCTACTGGGACTACACGGTCTTGTGTCTCTTATTCCATTCCTTCCTGAAGCAAGTCTAGGAAAGAGACCAGTTCTACCACACACACACTGCTTGGTGTTGTTCAGAAACAAGCTGTCAAGGTGTCAAGGGCTGGAGACCCGTTTTGCCTTCTGGGGGGAAAGCTGGCTATCCCAGTGGCTCAATGTCTCATGCAAAATTCCCCTAAAACCCCAAGGTCCTTGCTGTACTGCCTGGAAATGTAGCCGGCACGGAGTGTTAGTGACGCAGGGAACTGTCTGATGGCAGGCACTTCCCTAGTAACAAAGGTTGCAATCAGGATGAACACAGGGGAAGGGTTTCAATATACAGTTCCCTGCTTTCTGTCGATGAAGGCTCTGAAGATGCAATTACCATGGAGCAAGAAGTGTTATATAGTGAAGACTATGTCCATAGGACACCAGTTATTATCCAGAGAGTGAAGTTCCAGCCGTTGGGAACACAACAGGTCAGTGTGAAGCCTAACAGAGGGATGACCCCGCTACTAATGTCTGGATAAACTTTTACTCCATGTTCAGTTGATCTCTTATTTTTCACATGGGAAGACCTACTGAGGAACAGGTTTAAAATGTACTAGAATCCTTTAATCACAACTACTAGAATGTTTTCTGAATTACAGAAGTTCTGTAACAAATGTTGATAGTCTAGTTCTAAAACTTTTTTGTTTTAAAGATTTACTTATTTAAATTATGTATACAATGTTCTGTCTGCATGTATGCTGCAGGCCAGCAGGCAAGACGAGGGCACCAGATCTCATTACAGATGGTTTTGTTTGCTGGGAATTGAACTCAGGACCTCTGGAAGAGCAGCCAGTGCTCTTAAGCACTGAACCATCTCTCCAGGCCTGTTTTTGTTTTTGTTTTGTTGGTTGGTTTTGAGACTCTGTGTAACAGTCCTGACTGTCCTGGAACTCGCTCTGTAGATCAGCCTGACCTCGAACTTACAGAGATCCACCTGCCTCTGCCTCCCAAGAGCTAGGATTTAAGGTGGTGCCCCACCATTTTTTTTCAATGTGGCACTTGTTAAAAATGGTCCACTCCTCATAGGTATTAAACATTTTATTTAAACATTTTAATGTAAAAAAATTATACAAATACAGATTACATTAATAATGAACAAGACAATATTCTACATGACAAAAATAAAAACAAATTTCTAAACTAAATGTTCCAGCACTGAGGACACATGGAACTAGACATCCAATCCAGCTGCATAGGATAAAACGATCCGACCACAGTTTATGCAAATTAAATGATTTCTAAGACACCAAATGCCAATCACTCCGCTCATTCACACCAAGAGGCCCCTGATGAGTATTTTGAGAGAACTTTTACATAATGTATAAGGAGTTGGCATGGCACTTAAGGACTGAAAACTAGGACTAAAAGACATTTACAATAATTCTGTATAAAACACACACAGTAAATCTTATTAGTTAAAAAAAAAGATTTAAAAACAAAGACCACCATTAATAAGAGACCTCATGATAGAAAACTGCTCATTTGCCCAGCAGTGGCAGGAAACGGGTGCGTTTTACTGGGGATGAGGGCAGGGAAGGTGTGTAACTTGGATTAGTTCATTTAATGCGTAGACAAATTTGGCGATAATTCACTGATTACCTTTCTTGAACTGTTTCACCACAGAAAGTAGACTCACACCCCATAAGAAATATTGTCACACACATAAAAAGAATACCTTGAAGAAAATGTTTTTCAAAATGAAATATGAAGTCCCCAAAGAGTCCGAAGTTAGCCTAAGGATGTGCATTTCCAAACAAACTCTCAGCGACTGCTGGATATTCCAAGGTGCCCAAGGGACAGCCCCCTTCAATGGCCATAAGCATGCTGACACTCCAGAATTCTCTACCAGTTTATGACGCGACGCTGCCTCGCGACTTAAAATAAACCTAAGTATTGGGGAAGCACACTTCTCAAACATGAGACAAACATGGACATGCAGATAAACAGTTGCTTCCTGATATGCATTCTACTGCATGTATTTGGCTCCCCCCCCATTTCTTTACTGCAGGGGAGGGTGTGCGTCATGGTGTACTAGCTTGTAGGAGCGTGTCCTTTTCTTTCACCATGTGGCATCAGAGCCAGGCCACCAGGCTGGGCGGCATGTCCTGCACCTGCTGAGCCACCTCACTGTCCCTATTTAGCTACAGTCAATGGAGGCCTCCAGTGCTCTCGGCCTTACGTTATTTGAAGAAAAAATGCATGACACAGACTTGGGAAAACTTACACTTCTCATGAAACATAGCATCCCCCAAAGGATAATTTTTAAATACCTACATGTTTTAAATCATTATAAGCTCAACACTAGATAGCATCCCTAAAATAAAATTTTACTGATTTGACAATTGTACTTTATCTAGATTATTATTTTAAAGTTCTTTATATAAAAATATTTAAAATAAACAGCAGAATGATGTTAAATGGTACTTCTTTAAATAAAATGTTGCTAAATACTAATATTAATAAAAATATTGCGGAGAACTGAAGAACTCTGCCTCTGAAATGCATTCTATTATGTATTATGTTTGTTACCCAAGACCTAAAGCTCAGTAGGAACTGCAAACACGCGTGTTACAGTTACTCATGTCATACATAAGCGCCATTAACTGGTCCTAAAAGTACAAACAATGTACTTTGGGGAAGGAATCAAAAGTAAAGACATTCTACTTAGAAGATAAATTATTTTCCTGCATACTAAGTAATAAAATATATGTATATATACACTCTGCCTCCCCTGAATGAATGAAATGCTTTTCTAAGTATCGGAAGAAGTAAGTACTTCCTCATTATTTAAAACAAATCTCAAAAGCAAGTGTAGGATTCATTCCCACTAGAAAATAAAACATTACTATTATCCTTCTTTTTCCTTTGTATGTACTGAGCAACTGTCCATATGCTCTCTGGGTCCTTGAACTGCATATGCTACTTCTCTCTGAGAAGGCAGGCTCAGACGCTAACCCCTTATTCTAAAAAGAAAAAAAAAATTAAACACAAAATAAGCGGCGGTGGTGGCGCACACCTTTAATCCCAGCACTCGGGAGGCAGAGGCAGGTGGATCTCTGTGAGTTCGAGGCCAGCCTGGTCTACAGAGCTAGTTCCAGGACATGCTCCAAAGCTACAGAGAAACCCTGTCTCAAAAAAACAAAAATGAAAAACAACCCACAAAATAAATCATTGAGCCAATTTTTCAAACATAGCTAATTTATAATCCAATTCTTACTAAAACAAGTCAATTGTGTATCAATTCGATAACCGTTCTTTTAAATATCAATAATTATCCGGACTAATGAGAAAATTTATAGGAGGAGGAGTCTTCAAGGAACTCTGAAACTAGTTTATGAGATGTACTGTGAGCTACCCTCCACTACACAATTAGGCCTTCCAGTGACTTCCCACGATGACAACAACTGTGGAGACTGATGATGTAATCCCACCCGGCATCCCAACAGAACAGAGGCTCTGCTTGAGAAGCTGTGGTACTTCCTTGCTGAGTACTCCGGAGAACAAGCGAAACTAAAGTCTGACACGACTGTTGGGAAGCGAGCTCTAAGAGTCCTATCATCTATAAGAGGATGCTGTGAGATTCTGCAGGTGACAACACAAAACGCTAACGATGGCCAGGCTAACAGGCTGATCCATGCAGTGATGGCAGTAAGCAAATGAACAGCTGAAAAGCGAGGGTCAGACACATTCTTCTGCAGACATCAGAAGAGGGTTGATATACTCAAAACCTTCAAATTCAGACTGATCAATCTTCCTCACGATGTCACTGTTGAAAGAAAAGTGAATTTATTTTCATCATAATTAAGATTTTTTAGCCTTTAAACAGTGAAATACAACTAAAAAGAAAAAAAACAGAGCTAAATAATTTTAATTGTGGAAAGAAAACAAGTTCTTAGATTAATCACAAAGTGAGTTCTAGAACAATTAGGAAGGAAAAAGCCCACAAGGAAAACTAATAGCCCCACAAGCAGCGGCCTGAGAGCCAAGAGGGCTCAGAATCAGGCTGAGGATTTTTAAAAACACAGAAATTATCACAATCCCAGGTATTTTAACTTTTACTCTGAACAGAACTCTTGATTACGGTAAATAGGCAGGTCTAATTTAACATCCAGTTCAGCAATCACTTAGCCAGGCAGATGGTGACGAGAAGGAAGAAGTTAGCCAAAGGAATCGGCAACAGAAACAAAGACCTGGAGCAGAGGGAGAGGCTGGGGCTGCGTCACCCTGGACACCTAGCTTGGTGCACAGCGAGAGCAAAACCATCAACATTCCAGGACCTGAAGGGACGTGCCACACTGCCACGCACAACACTGCAGAGCTCTAAGAGAAAGCAGTACTTGTGGTCGACAGCAGGTGGCTTCCTCAGTCACCACCTTACTTTCTGAGCAGGCTCTCTCACTGGACTTGGAGCTCACTGAGCTGGAAGGATGGTTAAACAGCTCCAGGTCCCCAGCATCTCTGTATCCCGAGTACTAGTATTACAGACATGTGTCGTCACACTTGCTAGAGATGTGAACTCAGGTTCCCATGCTTGCATGGCAAGCACTCTCCCACTGAGCCATCGCCCAATCCACTGTCTGCAATATTTCCCACAGTGTAAGCCGAGTCCTCTCTAACCACACGTGGAAAGGGAGGGCAACACCGAGCTGGAGAAATCAAGGCAGTCGGCGTTCACTACACTGCACGCGGAACTGGAAAGGCGGGCAAGTGTGCAGAAACGAAGAACGCACCAGAGCTGGAGCTGGGGACTAGAAGGGCACTGAGGGGGAGGGGCCACTGGAAGGACAGTGGCGCTGCATTTATGACTAACGAGGTTCCATGAAGGGATTTCATCTCCACTAGTCAGATCTAGTCACAATTTCAGGTCTTTGAAAAAGAGGAAGATTTCAACTGGTGAAAATGACAGAGGAAAAGAGAGACCTGAGTCAGGAGAGAGAGAGCATGACACCCGCTAGCGGGCAGTGGTGAATGACAGACTGCCCCAAACACCTTTTGTGTTTTAGTGGTAGGGCTAAAAAGCAAGGCAGGGACAGAGGTGGGGTGGGGGTGTGGACAGTTGTCACCTGGGAGGTTTCTGACTAGGGCTGAGGAACTGAACGGTCCATGAAGCACACTGGATAGGATACACAGTAAAGGAGGAGGAATCAACGAGCTGGGGACTACACTCTTGGTATAATGTGTGAGACTGGATCTCAGGTTACGGCAACAGGGTAAGAAAAGAAAGCTCAGATCCAAGTGCTACAGGAAAACACACAAAGCTGCCTCAGCAGTGGGTAGTATAGAATCTGCCGGCTGAAAGACATCAACAAGCACAGCCGAATCTGGTCGACAGGAATAGGTGGTGGTGCAAGAGGCAGCCGTAAGGCATGACCTAAACCGAGGGACAGCACAGAAAGGGAGTCATCTGAGCTGTTTATCGGTCAATCAGTGAGATGTCAGACAGACATGCTCAGGAGCACCACAGTGTGGCAGCGAGACACTCTGCAACCACCCTTGCTTCTTCATAGGAACCTTATCAAGTGGACATGACCGAGGACGGCAGCGAGAAGCTCAGAAATCACCCTGGCTTATTCTTCACAGGATCCTTGTGAGGCGGATGCCATGAGAAGGAACAGGATCCGAAAAGTCATGCAGTCCTACAGAAGGCTGCACGGCAGAAGAGAGTAACAGGGACTTGAGCACCCCCTCCTCCGGATGACAGACAATTGCTCACAGAGACAAGCTGAACTAGGACGGCACTGCTCTGAGCGCATACCTTCCCAGACACCAGACACGGGGGAGAGGAGGACTAACCAAACAGTGCTCTGAAACCTAGAAACTGAGACGTCACCCTGACCTGCCAAAGGTTAGGCAGCAAGCTCATCTACAAACGTGTACCAGGGCCGACCACCCTGACAGAGTCTGGAAGCTACCGCTCATTCCTTACTAAGAACAGCAACACGCGTCTCTTTAAGTGTCTGAAGAGGAAAGAACGAAGTGACACAACCATGCTGTGTCACAGAAGGGCTCAGGTTGTGTAAAAAGCAAAACTGGTGTCTTTAGGTAGGAGGAAAACTAAGGTGCTGAAGTAGTAAGAGCTGGGAGTGGAGAGGGCAGACCAGACGGAGGGGCGGCCTTCCAGTAGTGAGGTCTTTCCCAGCAGGAGGCAGAATAAGGACCCAGAGGAGTGAGGCCCAGACCTGAGACACAGTCATCTGAGGTCACAGTCCTGAGACACAGCCATCTGAGGTCACAGTCCTGAGAGACACAGTCACCCAGAGAGGTCACAGTCATCTGAGGTCACAGTCCTGAGACATAGTTATCTGAGGTCACAGTCCTGAGACACAGTTGCCTGAGGTTACAGTCCTGAGATACAGTCGCTCAAGGCACCATAGTCGCCCAAAGAGGTCACAGTCCTGAGATACAGTTGCCCAAGTCACCTCCACCAGTCAGTGGTGGAGACAGATAAATTCTCACAGACAGAGTCAGGAAAAGTAGTCCCTGAGAGAAGGCTCTAACGAAGAGCTGCCAAGAGTGTGCGGACCAAGATATAAGAGAAGTGAACACCAAGAGCAAAGGTCCCTTAGATTAGAAAATCTTAGGGAGGGAGGGAGGGAGGGAGGGAGAGAAAGAGAGAGAGAGAATGAATCAAAACAATCTCTAATCACTTGGAGTCGTGTTTTGAAAGGAAGTGATATAAACAAGTACTCTGACCCCTGCTGGCCACACGAGAGACCTGCATCATTTTTAAAAGGAATACCCAGAAACTCAGAGAAATGCTCAAATCAGAATGGGGCAGTGCAGCCCAATGGTAAGTACAGGCCTTGGCCAGTCAGCCCCAGGTGGGAATCCCGACACCTGCGCACCTCTCCTTAACCTCTCTGAGCCTTGGTTTCTCATCTGTAAAGATGAAAATGCCCACTTTACAAGATTGTTGTGAGAACTGGGATAATGCACACAAAGTAAGTGGATATAACCATGGCTAGAGTTTTAAACAGCCCAGCAATGGATGGTTACATATAAAGTAGAGAGTATTTTCAACAATAAACAGCCTTACGATATAGATTTCAAAAGAAGTTGAAAACATCTGAGTGTGTGGAATTACTTACTCATCATCTGGAGTGAGCTGGACTGGTTCATTCGTAAACTGGGAATCAAAGTTATCCAAGCCAAATTCTCCAGAAATGTTTGGTTTAAAGGGTGGCACCACCTGCTTCTGCTCCATCTGAAAGACAGCCCCAGAAACACCGTGTCTCTGCACTCTCCCTTGCTCTCCCACGGCTCACCCGGCATGCTGCGACACCATTTCAGCAACATGGCCACATCTTATTAATCTGAACGTCGGTATGGGCCTTAATAATATTACAATCTGCCCCTGTACATTAATGTTCTCTTCTGTTTCTAAAGCTTCTTCTTTATCTTCTTTTTTCAAGACAGGGCTTCTCTGTGCAGCTCTGGAGCCTGTCCTAGAACTCACTCTGTAGGTCAGGCTGACTTTTGCCTCGCGAGTGCTGAGATGAAAGGCGTGCGCCACCAAGCCCAGCTCTCTAAAGCTTTTTATAAGTATTATAGAGTAGTTTTAAGTTATTTAAGCTACAATATCTTAGCTTTTCAATAACTCATTAGCACAATAAAAGTTGGCCCTTGGTTATAGTAAAACCCAAGCAACAACAACAACAAAAACGGTAAAGGTACATACCATGTCCCAGTCCACATTTCGGAAGAACGGGTGTCCTTGGATGTCAGCAAATCCAGTTTGAGGGTGGCAGCCCAGCCGTTCCTTTGGGTCCTATGGCAGAAGCAGTGTTTCGAGGGCTAGATGAGTAAGATTCCTGTTTTATGGCACCTTTGTTTGGAAATGTCTAGCTAGTTCTAGAAAGCCCACCACCAGGCGAGTCATCTAGAGCGCAACAGGTAAGGGTTCCTCCTGGCTCTTCATCAACTTATCATGGCAGTAAACGGGGAACTCGACAGCAGACATGGCGGTGAACACCTATAACCCCACTGAAGTATTTTCTTTAAATCGACCACACACAAAAGAATTGGAATTCAGTACATTGTGAATGTAATCTTCACTTGATAATTGTTCTTGTATACGGTCTTACTATGTTAAAGTTAAAGCTTTTCATTTTTGTTTATGAAAAAAAGCGGGTGTTGGGGAATATTATTTTAAGGTGTGTTGCTTTTGTTTATGCTTATGCTACATTTGTTTAACTCTGTGAAGCTGAGATTCTTTGCCCATCTAAAACACCTGATGGTCTAATAAAGAGCTGAACGGCCAATGGCGAGGCAGGAGAAAGGCTAGGCGGGACTGGCAGGCAGAGAGAATAAATAGGAGGAGAAACAGGAAGAGGAAGAGCAACAAGGAGAAAACAAAAGAAGGACATCAGGGGTCAGCCACTCAGCCAGCCTCAGAGTAAAAAAGTAAGATATTCACAAGTAGGAAAAAGGAAAAGCCCAGGGGCAAAAAGTAGCCGGGATAATTTAAGAAAATCTGGTAAGAAACAAACCAAGCTAAGGCTGGGTATTCATAACTGAGAATAAGCCTCCATGTGTGATTTATTTGGGAGTTAGGTGCCGGCCTCCCCACCCCCCAAAAGCCTAAAGAGAGAGGTGGAGGCAAGAATGTCAGAAGTCCAAGGTCATCCTGTTATACAGAATGGTCAGCCTGGGCGAGTGAGCGCCGACCACCACCCTGCTAAGGAAGGAATGTGAGGAAAGTAAGGGCAGCATTGCTATCGTTCTCAAGGGCCAGAGTTCAGTCATCACTGAGAACCCTCTGAACGATATCACACTTACATTTAGATCAGCGTTACACCCTATGCTCAACTACAGCAACAAACCCTAATGTCTAAGACAATGACAGCAATTACCTGACCACAGGACTGAGATGGAGCTCATAAAGCCTTGGCTTTTACTCTTACTGTGAATTGGAATGTTTTCTTTTTCATAAAAGGCATTTTATTTTATAGATTAGCATCTCTCAACTTTATTTCTCATTGTGTGAAACATAAGCTTTCCAGTTTAAATCTTCCCTCAAAAAAAAAAAAAAAAAAACAGTCAGTCAGGAGTTCAGTGGTTAAGAGCAGACTAGCTGCTCTTCCAGAGGATTTGGGTTGGACTCCCAGCACCCACACAGCAGCTCACAATCAACTCTAACTTCAGTTCCAGGAGATGTAATGCCCTTCTCTGGCCTCCCTGTAATGCAGTAATGCACGTGATATACAAATACAGACACACACACACACAGCCCTCTAAACTAAGTGCCAATTTCCAATTTTATTAAACTTTGTCATTATCTGCTCAAGGTGGCAAATATAACCCATTTTCTACCCTATTTATGTAAAATAAAATTTATGAATCCCAAATTCATAATCTTAGACCCTAAACTCTTCTAGTGTACCAACTACCACAAGTGATTGATGCTTACATTTTTAAGATGCCATTTCGTTTCCTCTGAATTTTATCTAGATATTGGGTTCTTAATATGAAATGGGTAGAAAATACTACTGACCACATGCTCAAAAAATACACAGTGATCAATGGGTGTTATGGATAAAACACATAAAACCAGAACTGAAAATGCAGCTATAGCGATTCCTAAGGCCCCATTTTTCCCCCACTGATATGATATTTATGTATCACTCACACTAAAAGCATCAATCTAGAATCTGGCTAGGGGTAAATTATATTGGCCATGTGGCAAGGATAATCAGGTCAGGATTTGATCGTGTCTTGCTGACCACGGAGTAAACTCCACCCTAACTGCACTGCCTGCGTCTCCACTCACCAGGCTGGCTCACAGTAGGGAATGGAGGTCACATCAGATCTCACACACGGTTCTTACCTTGTTGAGAAAACTCTTCAGCACACTTGCTGCTTTTACAGACAGAGAACGTGGTATGCGAATTTGCTTTTCCAAAATAACTAGGAAGGTAAGAATGACAGTAATTTTCAGCTTTTTATGTGACTGGAATATTTAAGTTTTTTCTTTAGATGCCAAGATATTTAAGGTATTTCAGCAGAAAACACATTATCTACATAACTGAAATTCTTCATATAGTTTCCTAATCCCTTGGCCCTCCTTCTCAGAGCTGGCCCTCACCTGAACACTGCATTTACTATTTACAAGCATGTTTTATTTCTTATATCCTTGCTGTGCCTCAGTTTCTTCCTCTGTAAACAGGAATAGAAGCAACACCTGCTTCACAGGGTTCTCACAAGGTATCAAGTTAATAAGGGAAAGTGCTTGCATGTGTAGCACAGGATTATTCCAGGAAATGTAAAATTATGCTCCCCCCACCAGCGGTCCTGACGAGTTCCCGCTGCTCTATACTTCTGGGCACTAAGCACTTCTCATCAGACCGAAGTCTGTCAAATGCACAGGATGAAACTGCAGCTCACTAACACTCAGTGTGTATTCTAACCACCAGTGAGGCCGGGGGCTTTTCATATTAACCGCTTTGTGGTAGAGAAGCCTGTGCGTGGCCCCTGCTTCTGTTCAGCTTTCAGCACTCCTCGCTGTGGGCACTGCTGCCTCAACACCTCTGGGCTCTCTGATATCCTCACACTCTGCCTCTCCTGAGCTTGGGCACTAAGCCGCAGCTCCCGTGCAGAGATTAGACTCCCCAGGCACAGACCCTGCTTCAGTCTCTGAGGCGGATAAGCCAAGCGGCTGTGTTAGGAGTGTGGGAGGAGCACTGCACATGGACTACAGACTAGAGTGGGAATGGGAAGTCACAAGTGTATGTCCAAATTATTCCCTTTCTTACTCAGAAGAGTAATCTGAAAGCCTTAATTTTGCTCTACATTATTGAGAATCTTAACAAAATCCTGCAAATTACCTTGGAATAGATAGTCCTCTGTATTTTGGTCAGGATTATCGGAGCTCCCAACAATATCAAATGGAGACCTTCCGGCCATCATCTCAAACATGAGCACTCCAAGAGCCCACCAGTCAACACTGAAGCCTTTGGAAAGAAAATTCAAATAACAAATCTTCTCCGTATTCATGAAAAGCCAGCAATTAGAAATCTACTTTATCATGAAAAGAAATGTAAATTCTAATTAGATTATAAATAGTCTGGTAGGCACTAAGAACTACAGAAAAACTGGTCCAACCTTAAAAGGAACATCTATATACGAATCCCTCTTCCCAAGCAGAGGGATGGTTATGGAAGATGGGAAAGACTATAAATGCAGGAGGTGCTGGACCAATACAAGGAAAGAACAGCTTCCAGACACATCAGGGCAGTTGCACACAGGAACTCACAGCAACTGGGATAGCATGCACAAGCCCTGTGCAAACTCTAGTCAGACCAAAGGCCAGCGTGGGAAGGGTGGGCAGACATGAGGAGCTGTAAGCGATAGCTGCTGGGGGAGGGAGTTCCTCCAAGAGAGTTGCTCCTTGTAAGTTGACCGTGCTCCTGTGGGCAGCACACACTGGACATGAGTGAAAAAGAAAAGGACACAAAGGTGGGTGAGGTGGGGGGGGGTGGATTTGGGAGGAATGGGACAGGGTAGATACGATCAAAACATATTGTATGAAATTCTCAAAGAACTAATAAAATGATAAATACAAATGTAAAAAAACTTAATGGAAGTCGGACGTGGTGGTGCACATTTTAATCCCAGCACTTGGCAGAGGAAGTCAGATTTCTTTGAGTTCAAGGCTAGCCTGGTCTACATAGCAAGTTCCAGGACAGCCAGGGTTATAGAGCCAGACCCTGACTCAGAAAAGGGGCAGGGAGAGGCAGATGCGATATACTGTCTGATGCTTGACTGCCTGACCTAGCCTTTAGCATCTTTTAGACTCCTAGAGGAAATATCCCAAGGGCTCTGAACAATCTAGGAGTTCACAACACTGATTTCACACAGCTGATGGCCATTCCTGGCTACCGTGATCTAGGTATATTATTTAAACTGTTGTGTGCACCAGTTCCCTCATTCATAAAATCAATTATGCTAACCTCAGATTTCAAGGGAGCTTAGAGTTAATTATTTATAATAGTTCTTGCCACTACTCAGTGTTTGTCATTAGTAAAATGTTATTTAAATGTATACTCCGCCAAATACCAAACTCTTTTTGGCTCTGGTTTCAGAATCTGAGAGTCTTCATGTAGGTTAACAGAACCAAGAAACATTCATATTAATAGGATGAATACTAAAATGCTATAGTATATTATATTGTAGTTGGTACCACATTAAACTACCAATATAGCAATAGCTAAAATACCACCTATTTATTTATTACCATAGTCTTCTCCTCTTAAAATTTCAGGAGCAATGTAATTGGGAGTTCCACAGAAAGTGCTGGTTGTATCTCCAGGCCGTAATCCTTCCTTTCATAGGGTAAAAAGGAGGAAAAAAAAAGAAAGATAAGATACTATTTTAAATTTACCTCTCTTGTACTTCATCTACTGTCTAAACTTACCATGTATATGCAATATATTAAACCTAAAAAATAGCATTATGAACAGTTATCTTATCATGAAAATTGAGATTGCTACTAAATAGTGAAAACAACACTAGATGTTGCTAAACTCAATTTAGCCAAGAGGCAGGTGGGTCTTTGTGACTTTGAGGCCAGCATGGTCAACAGAGTGAGTTCCAGGACAGCCAGGGTTACACAGAGAAACCCTGTTTCAAATAAAACAAAATAAAAACCACTTTAAAAATAATATTTGCTGGGCTAGAGAGATGGCTCAGAGGTTAAGAGCACTGGTTGCCCTTCTAGAGGTCCTGAGTTCAATTCCTAGCAACCACAGATGGCTCACAACCAACAATCTATAATGAGATCTGGTGCTGCCTTCTGGTGTAAACGAATCACCCAACATGACTGCTGACATTACAGCACTTGCTTCTGGTCACTTTTCCTGTGGAGCTTGTCTTCTACCTTGGTGAACAGTAAGGCACAATGCATAAACAGGCTAAGTAGAGAAAACACTCTTAGCTAAATAGAACAACCATGAAGAACTATAACAAATATAAATTTCTGTATACCTACTAACATATTTTTAAAAAAAAAAGAATAAAAATGAACAAGTTAGGAAAATTTCATTGTATTCAATCATAAGATTCTAACATTCTTCTATCAGAAAATACAGGCTACATACCAATAACCAATAAACAGAAAAAAATTTAGATTAAAAACTAAAACTAAAAAGAAAAAACAAGCATGGCGGTGCAGGCATCACCCCGCACTTGAAGACTGAAGCAGGAGAACTATTGATTCAGGGACAACCTCAGCTACATGGGTTTGAGACCTTGTCTCAAAAGAATAAAGCAGAAGCAAAGCCACAAAACAAAACCCACCCAAACAAATAAACAGAAAATAAAAACAACCAAATATGTTACATATACCCATATACGCAGTATAAATATGGTCAGTCAAATATGTTTGAGGGAAGGACAGTCCTTGCAGGGCTGGGGAGAGGGGGGTAAAATCTTGCAAGACAGTCTAGGTCTGCCTTGAGCTCATGACCATCCTGCTTCAGTCCTGCAGAGGTGAGTCATGCCTCGGCCTCTGTGTGCTATTGGTAATCTTTACTCATGTTCAAACAGTGATGAAGAAGAAGAAAGAAGAAGAAAAGAAGAAGGAGGAGGAGGAGAAGGAAGAAGAGGAAGAGGAAGAGGAAGAAGAAGAAGAAGAAGAAGAAGAAGAAGAAGAAGAAACCACTGTTCTAATTTGCTCGTGTTTTCATCTGCTCTTGAAACTCACAAGAATCCACTATTATTGNTTTTTTTTTTTTTTTTTTTTTTTTTTTTTGGAGACAGGGTTTCTCTGTGTAGCCCTGATGTCCTAGAACTTACTCTATAGACCAGACTGGCCTTGACCTCAGAGATCTGTCTGCCTCTGTCTCCTGGGATTAAAGGTGTGACACCATCACCTGGTCACACCTAGAGAGAAAGCACTCTAGGAGAAAAATGGCCAAGCAAAGGGTCTCCTACACAGAGGTGAAGGATGCACAGTAGGGCACTGACTATCTTCTCACTGTCTACAAATGAACATTTACATGACAGAATAAATGAAGGTATATCATAGGAAATGGGTCTTGAGTTGTACACATTGTGTGAAGGCTTTATTTTCTAATATAAGATGTACAGATGTAACATTAAATCCTCAATATCACTCAAGTGTTTTACATATGTAAGAACATGGAATTCCGCTCTGGTGGCACCTCCTCCAGGTGGAAAAACACAGTGCATACACTCACACACCTGGAGATGCTTTGCTGGAGAAGCATTAATAAGTAGAACAGTTTTCTAGACATTCTGTGGCAAAAGACCAGATCTCTAAATGAAACACTGTTGCCAAAAGAATAAACCACCAATAAATAGACATAATCTGAGATGAGGCAAAATGCTTATTTGATTTTGTTCTTACTTTATATCAGAGATTTGAAATTTAAATATAAAAACAGACTCCTAAGGAAAATTTGCAAGTAGGTTCAGGGTCTCCTAAATAGTAAAAGATTGGAAGATGATATGCAAATACTGGATTAACATGAGGATTGCAGGTAATTTTTATTTCCAAATTTTCTTCAAAAGTGTATCAGCTTTCAAGACAAAAAAGCTATAATCAATTAAAAATATTTAACCCTATATAAACACACATATCACAAAAGACATGGAATTCTGAGAATCTAAATGGTCAGGGAGTACACTCATCTTCAGCTAGAATTCCAAAACATCCTAAACAAGGCAGTGATCATTTCCCATCTGAACACGAAGTTACTCAGTTGACAGTCGCGAGCTGCCTGAGGGCTCTCTCACCTTACACATGCCATAGTCAGTCAGTTTAATGTGTCCTTCCGAGTCCAGCAGCACATTATCCAGCTTCAAATCTCTATAGATTATTCCTCGCTCATGCAGGTAATTCAGTGCTAGACTGATTTCTGCAGAGTAAAACCTTAAATTGAAGAAAACATACACATGTGATTTTCCTACAACAGGTCACTGCTTGAAAAACCCTAAACATACACTGAACACAAACAGATTTTAATATGTGATAGGTATACTATAATTTGTTATGTAAACTAAGCTGAACTAGTCAAGCTCCTCATGACTTACAAAGAATAAACCAGCAACAAGATAACTTGTTTATGTACTGTATTCAACTAGCAGACACAAGGTCAGGCAGTCCTGAGGCACAAATCCAACTCAAACAAAAACCTTACCTGGCATGTTCTTCAGGAAGCTTTCTTTGTCGCTGCATATGAAACATTAGATCCCCTCCATTTACATACTCTATAACAAAAAACAACCTAAAACAGAGGCAGAACCACAGTCAAAACGAGTCGCACAGTTTTAGCATTTCCAGTAGAACAGCAATCACACAGCATAAAGGGCTGATTGAGTCCTCGCCAAGAACTTAGTGAGAACAAGAGGCACGGACAAGAAACAAGAAAGGAACCCAGCATGGCACAACTACACGGACTCCACTCTAGAGTGTCTGCTTGGGGTAAGGAGCTACTAACTAGGTGAGTCATGCCTGCATGTCACGTCAGGTAAAGGAGATATCACATCCTAAGCTGTGAATGTGCAGGGCACTAAAGGGCTGGCTATCTACACTATTAGTAACTGGTGTTAGACTGGTATTGCTGATTGTAGCAGGAAGTTCTTAGTGCTCCTACAGGAATTACAGGAAACAGATGAAGCCCAGGAACATTCTGTCCACTTTAACCTCACCTGCTTTCTGTCTGGAAGCAAGAATGCAGTCCAACAAGAAAAGGGTGATTGGACGCCTGCTCAAAAACATGCTTCTCCGTCTGCACCCAGTCAATGTCCTGTTTAAAACACCAAAGAAATCTATGTCAAATGAAATGACCAAAACTATGATAAATTTGTTCTTAGCAGGCCAATCATCACAAATGTTAACTAATTCGACTAAATATCAAAATTACTCACTGTCATGAAACAAAAGTTATACAAAGAGAAAATACAGTAACAAAATGTCCAGTATTATGAAATAGTCTTGAACACTCAGAAACCTCAAGTACTTCCCTTGATAATGATATGCCTTGACGTTATTTTTACCTAAGGCGTGTTCTTAGAGAAGCAGACCACAATAAACGCACAATGCTGGAGTAGTGCGCTTTTGTTATGTCTGTCTGTGTGGCACTCTGGATTACACCAGGGCTTCGCACATGCTAGGGTTTGTCTAGCAGTAGAAAAGACACAAACATCACCATTCTTACCTCATCATCATTGACGAGCTCTTTCTTCACAACTTTCATTGCATAAATGCGATCTGTTTTTTTTAATCGAACCAACAGTACTTTGGCATAACTTCCTCTCCCTATAACGCGAAGCAAATCGAAATCCTGGAGACCTAAACTTGATGATGCTTTGCCGCTTTCCCTGGTGTTCGTCGCCTGTTGAGAACATTTATATAACAAAGTTTTACCTGGAAATATTTTGCTCAATACTTTCTATTTCTAACAAACTGTTCCAACTATAATAAAATATTTAAGTTCTTAACTTTTATATGTTCTAAAACATCTGATCTTTGAGAGACAGGATGAGCTTGTGAGTTAAGAAGTGTTAAGAACAGAGCTGATCTGAAGAACTAAAGGATGTCTTGAAAAGGACCTGACAAGTTTTAAGCACAGTATCATGGAGACACATGAATTGAACATGACACTGACTTTCATGACTGGGAGAAGAGGTGATGATAAGGAGGATAACATATGCGGACAGGATAACAGTGGCAGCTGTGTGCATTGTTTGGTTTTCTAAACAGAACTGAAGTTAAAATAGAATATCAAGAGAGAAGAGTCAGCCGGTCGGTGGATCTCTGTGAGTTCGAGGCCAGCCTGGTCTACAAGAGCTTGTTCCAGGATACGCTCCAAAGCTACAGAGAAACCCTGTCTCGAAAAACCAAAAAAGATAGAAGAGCCTGTAAGGGAATGGTAGACACTAGATAAATGTAACCTGGGCCGTGAGAGGACACACTCTAAGGTGTATGAGATGCTACAGGCAGGAAATGACCAGGAAGCAGTACAGATAGCAGTAGATTTGATATTAAAGGATGGCAAAGGAACCCTTTCAATTCATTTAAAACTAGAAATTTAAACATCCATCAATTTATGCAGATCATCAAAGATATTTTTTTACACGATACCTGCAAAGCCAAAAGAACACCTTTAGGGACCATGCCCCATAAGAATAAAGCAGGAGCTGGGGATTGGGGCACACAACTTTAATCCCAGCATTCGGCAGGCAGAGGCAGATCTCTGTGTGTTCGAGGCCAGCCTGTCTATAGAGGGAGTTCCAGGAGACTCCTAAGTTACAAAGAGAAACCCTGTCTCAAAAAAAGAAGAAAAAAACCACCACAATATTAAAAAAAAAAAAAAGGATAAAGCAGGGGTCCTATGGTAAAAAATATCAAGAAAAGAAAGGCAGATAGGAGAAGGAAGGGAGCGAGGGGGAGGAGAAAGAAATGAAAGCTCCAGATCTCACTCCTCTGGCCTCTGCACTGACGTGCACATCCACATAAACACACACACATGTAATTAAAAACAATAAAAACAATAGTTTAAAAAGAATGACGATGGGGATAGAGAGGAGGATCACTGTTCTTCCAGAGGATCCTGGTTCCATTCCTAGCACCCACATGGCAGCCCACAACTGTCTGCAACTCCAGCGCCAGGGCATCCGATGCCCTTTTTTGAACTCCATAGGCACCAGGCACACATGTGGTACAGACATATATGAAAGCAAAATACTGATACACATAAAATAAAATAAACATATCTAAAAAATATTTTTTAAAAGTTCACATTTAAAAAACTAGAAATAATGATAATTAGACTTTGTAATACTAGATTCTCATTATTGAAAAATATCAATTTAGTTCTTTAAGAAGAAAAAAACATCAGGTGGAAAAGGCTAGGCACTAGAAATAGAAAACCGTGGGTAAATGTGGGTAAATCTAAATAAAGAACGCTGCTTTAAAACCCCCACGCATCAAAAAGTGAAAATATGGCAAAAATATCACTGAAGACAGGAAGAGAGAAGACTGAACTTCAAGTACTAAGTTTAATTGAAAGGGCATCTTCTTGAAAATGATCAAAGTATCAACAGCTTGTGTTGAATCTTAAGGCTATAGAATAGCTATATAAACCAGCAATAGGATGAAAGCTTAAAACAAGTTTAAAAACCATCATCTCCACCATCATCTCCACCATCATCTCCACCACCATCGCCACCATCATCTCCACCATCATCTCCACCACCATCGCCACCATCATCTCCACCATCATCTCCACCATCATCGCCACCACCATCTCCACCATCATCTCCACCATCATCTCCACCATCATCGCCACCACCATCTCCACCATCATCTCCACCATCATCTCCACCATCATCTCCACCATCGCCACCATCACCACCATCATCTCCACCATCGCCACCATCTCCACTATCTAAGGACTGGCTTACTAGAGACTGACCAGGCACAGCGTGGACAAGAACAAGCAGCAACCACAACTCTCACACTGCTGGTGGAACTACAAACTCACAAATGGAAGCCTGCGGCCACCATCTCTTTCAGTGGACTGTACATACTCTTCAGCGCGTCTACTACCTATGCCCCAAAGTTGTTATTAACTTACATAATTAATTATTTATGAAGTACCGGGGAGTGAAATGTTTTATTTTATGTAGTACTAAGGACTGAACCCAGGACCTCATGTATGCTAGGTAAATGTTCGAACTCTCAAACTTCTCCAACCCCTTTTTCAGTTTTTATTTGACTTCACTAAGTTGTCTAGGCTGGCTCTGCGATCCTCCTGCCTCAGCATCCTGAGTAGCTGGGAGGACGCACTGGCTTTCATCAGCGGGGTCAGTAAACCACACTTAGATGACTGTTTCATCTTAACATCATAATACTTCCAACTGAGAGGGAAAATTGAAGTGGGACAGGTAAATGGAAATGATAAAAATAACTGAAGTACTGCTCTGCGAAACACACATCTATGTTACACGGAAGAAGTCAGAACATGCATTTTGTAGGACTCTGTTTCTACAGCTGGAACAAGAGCAAATAAAGGGGCGCAGACAATGGCTACTTTTAGGGGAGGGGGAGACGGAGACAGGATTGCCGTGATTAGAAGCTGTAAGACAGACCTCTGGAGTGTTGGAACATTTTTCTTCTGAGAGGTCATCCTATAGTGCTCACTGTGTCAAAAATTCATCTAGCCACATCTCATCGTCTGAGCATTAGCTACATGTATTGAAAAGGTATGACCACCAAAGCAGTAAGAATAATGATGATAATGATAAAATGTCAACACGTTTCTAAAAACAACCAAAAAAGGAATAAAGACCACCAAAGAGCAGATTAAAGAAATATGAGCAATACACGGTCCAGAAGAGCAGAGGACACATTCTTTAGTGTTAGGGTTTTCTTCCTTTATATGACTCAATCAGCCTACAACAAAACAAGGAAGACGTGGTCACAGTGGCAGAGCGGGTTATAAATGTTAACAGCCTTGGCAATGGAGAAGCAAACATGCAGCCTTAAAGAACAAAACTGAAAGAAAGACTAAGGGTAGATGAAACAGAGTGGAGACTGGGGTGCAGCCGGGCAGGGCAGGAGCACCTGTAATCCACATCTGGGAGGGGGAGGAAGAAGAACCAGGAAACAGAGTCTTCCTTAGATATGCAGGAAGTTCTAGGACAGCCTGGGCAACAGGAGAACTTGACTCAAAAGAACAAAAGAAATTAGTCAATTAGACTAAATCAGAAAGAGTCTAAGATGCCATACTAAAAACACGGGATCAACAGATTTACTTTAAAATTCTGCTGGAGTAAAGCAAGTGAGGAGACAAAACCACCCACTGTGTGTTCACAGTAACTGAACTGAGTAGTGCATATAGGAGGGGGCTTTGCTACAATGTTCTGTCTGCTACTTCTGTATCAAATTTTCATAATAAAAAGTTGGACGATAACAGCCATCAAGCACTAAAAAGTGAAAAAGAAAAGGTAAGGACTAATCTTCCATGACCAGACGCACATTTCAAAACCAGAGATTTAGACACTAGTCACACAGAGAAGAGGCTAACGGGCTTCCAAGACAACGGACTGGGAACAGGTAACACGTGACATTCTTTTTCACCAAAAGCTTTTCTAAAACTGGTTATTGTTTTAATTAATTTCTATTTTAGAACAAAAACCTGGACTTGAGAAACAGCTCAGCAGTGAAGTTCCACATCAGGCAGCTTCCAGCAGCCTGTAACTACTGCTCCAATCGACCTGACACACCCTTGGGCATCCATGACCACCTGCACATATGTGGCATTTTCTTACACAGATACATACAAAAATAAATATTAAAACCCAATAAACTGCCTAATAGAGAGAGGAAAAAAAGAAAACACTAGCCAGATGACTTAGCAGGTGAAATACAAAGTGTTTGCTACCCAGGCCTAGCAACCTAAGTGGGGTTCCCGAAGCTATATGCAGGTATTAGAGTATCAGCTCCACTTCTACATGCATATAGCAGGCAGCATGTCCATCCTATTCCTACACATCACACACAATAATAACAATAATATTTTAAATGCCAATTAAGACATTTAATCATTTACACTTTAAGAAATTAATCCAGAAAACAGAAGAATCTGCAGCATGTTTCAAACAATATTATCGCTGGGCGGTAGTGGCGCACGCCTTTAATCCCAGCACTCGGGAGGCAGAGACAGGCAGATCTTTGTGAGTTCGAGGCCAGCCTGGTCTACAAGAGCTAGTTCCAGGACAGGTTCTGAAGCTACAGAGAAACCCTGTCTCGAAAAAAAAAAAAACAACAACAACAAACAAACAAACAAAATTATCAAGTACTAAATGCTATTGCTATGTATATTGTACTTTTTGCATATGCTATCTTAAAGTGAAAATAAATTTTCAAGTTATTTCATAGTTAAAACTACTTAATTAAAGATTTAAATAAAAACAGAACTCTAAAATCATTAAATATCTCCCTTGATTGACTGTTACCGTCTAGTGTGTAAGCAGCTCCAAGTGTTACATTTCTAAGAGATCGCATCTTTCTAAGAAGGAATGATGCTGTATACAGTAGTACAAATTATCTTACCTCCTTTTCTTCACCAACTTGGTCCAGACTTTCATGACTTGAAGGATTATATGGAATTACTAAAAATTCAGAACCAAATGAAAAAGAAGAAAAATTATCAATTATGAATTTGACTTAAAATTTTTCTTTTGATGGTTTTTCTTAATTTTTATATGAGTAAGTAATTAGTGAAAGCTTAATATTTATTAAGAGTAGTGAAGGGGCTGGAGAGATGGCTCAGTGGCTAAGAGCACTGGCCAGAGGTCCTGAGTTCAATTCCTAGCACCCACATGGTGGTTCACAGCCATCTATAGTGGGATCTGATGTCCTCTTGTGGTATAAAGTCATCATACATGCAAAAAGAACACTCATACACATAAAACAAATTTTTTTAAAAATATTTATTTATTTATTATGTATACAATAGTCTGTCTGCGTGTATGCCTGCGGCCAGAAGAGGGCATCAGACCTCATTACAGATGGTTGTGAGCCACCATGTGGTTGCTGGGAATTGAACTCAGGACCTTTGGACTAACAGGCAATGCTCTTAACCACTGAGCCATTTCTCCAGCCCCAACAAACAAATTTTTAAAAAAATAAAGAAAGATCATTTAAAAAGAAAGAGTAGTGAAGGCAGAGAAGAAGCACCAGTTGGCAGTCAAGTCCTTCTTTATGAATAAATTGTTCTCTACAGAGGACTATAAATTCTACTGAAATGCTTTAACACCCACAAACAGAGATGGCAGGCCTATATGGAAATGCTTGACTCTTACTGAGATGAAGACCTGACACGGTCGGGCTTCTGCTCCTCAACGCTGCTGGGGGTTGGAGGAGTAGCAGCCCTCAGCTCAGACCGGTCAAGCTCCTTTCTTTTAACTTCAGCATTCCCCAGACACGCACTTAACTCGCCCACAGAGTCAATCTGCTATGCTCTATCTCTACATTTCCAGAGGAAGGATGTGAAGAAAACCAAGTTGCTTCAACAGTCAACATGGCTCCAAACCCAGCTTTGTACTTTCTCACTGTGAAAACAAACTAGGCTTGCTGAATTTAAAGGATTCTCAAAAGAAATTATTTGAACTAAGAAAGTCATTTGTTAGCTTACACAGTTGTTTCTTCAAATGCTAAATATGTATATTAAAATACTGTGACAAATTTTACAACCACAAAATATGCTTATGTACACTATGTTTTTAAACTTGGGCTTTAAAAGGCTACCACACAGCTGTGGCGAGGAGCTCCGGGGACAGAAGGGCTGAAAGTGGGGAATGTAGGAAAAAACAGGGAAGGACAAGCAACAGAAGTTTATCTGAAATCTAATACACTGCACGCTAACTCAAAAAATAAAAAACAAAAACCACATGAAGTCTAACGTGAGAGATTAGACTTAAAAAAGCCCCCAGAGCAGTCTCTAGCCGCTACTGCCCTTACCGGTCTGCGCGTGGTCTGGGGGCATGGATGACTGGTCCATTGGCATCATTGGTTCCTACAAACAGTTCCAAAGACACAGTAACTTAGAAGATTCTTTTCAAACCCCCAAACCTCTATATACCTAGAAATGACAGTATCTCAGTGGGATGTATCATACTAAAACTTAAATGTGAAAAACTCTAAGTGATATGAGTTACATTATTATTAAAATACTCAACAATATAAAGCCATGCACTACTCCTATGAATGACACAATTTTTACAGAAAAACAAATACACAAGGGATTTCAGGTGAGTTAGAAATAAAACCGTGATTCCCCCTTCTACATTACCTTTCCTCCCTCTGAACCTGACAACAACCTTCAAGTTACTCTCTGACCTCCAGATGCTGTGGCACGCGTGCATAACACATGCACAAAAGAACAACGAATAAAAATAGGATACAAGGTATAGCTAAGGGGACTGGAGACAGTGCTCAGCAGTTAGAGAACTTGCAGCTCTCGCAAAGGACCTGAGCTCATTTCTTAGCACTCATACTGGGCAGTTCAGTTCCAGGGATCTGACACCCTCTTCTGATCTCCAAGGCCAGAACACACTGGGCATATACATATACATACACATAAATAAAAAATAAATCTGAAAAAAATGACCAAGTCATACTGTTGAGAAAAATGAGTTGGAAAAGGATGTACATCAATAACACCACTTTTACTAAAAGCATATTAAAAAAAGACACACTCAAAGTAATGAACAAAATTATTAAATACTTTAAATGACTAAAAACTAATTGTTTCTCCTGCAATAAAATTCTAAGGAAAATACAGGTGGAAGGAGGAACCAGGGAATTTAAAAAGTATGGGAGAAGCATCAATCAAGAACTGTTTGAATCTTAATTCAGAATGAAAAATTGTAACTTTTATGAGACAACTAAAAATGTGACTACTGCCTAGACGGCATTTGATAACGGTTCCTTCAAGACTTGCAAAGTTTACGTATCGTAAGTAGAATGTAAAGAATGCCTGCACACTGTATCTTCTGAGATGCAGTTCTGTGACACCTTCCTGCTTTAGCCCTGTTAAATGAGGCATGCAACACACAAATATAACAAACAATTCTCTAAGCCTTACCGGTGGCAAGGAATGCCGCCCACACTCAATTGTGACAAGCTTATGGCACTTCTTGTGAACCAACAGTTTGCAATTGATGCACTTATATCCTTGTCGTCCAAGTCCCCAGATTCTGTCTGTACAGATGGCACAGTGAGCACGCTGCAAAGAATAAGTTCAAGAACATTTATTCACAGCCAGTGGTGGTGCAGGCCTTTAATCCCAGCACTCAGCATGCAGAGGCAAGTGGATCACTAGAAGTTCCAGGCCAGCCTGGCCGATGTAGAGAGTTCCAGGACAGCCAGAGCTACAAAACCTATCTCAAACAAAACAAAACAACCCCATTTCCCAACAGCTTGTTCATTGCGTCTTCAATCCCAGAATTCATGAGGCAGAGGCATACTGATCTGTAAGTTCAGTATGGTCTACACAGTGCGTGCCAGCCAAGGCTACATACTAAGACTCTGTCTCAAAAAAAAAGAAGCCAAATAAACAAACAACCCCAAGAAATTTAAAAATCGCTGGTTTTCCTTCTAACTGAATTCCCTCATCATGGCATCAGTTGTCAGCCTATAGCAAAATCAGATGAAACAAAATTTTTTCACATAATTTTTTTTCAAAGGCTACTGAAGATCAGTGAAAAAGAGAAGACAGCCAGTTTAAAGAGTCATGAATATACCACCATGTTGTTTTCTGATGTTAAATTCAAGAAATTTTCATCTTCACAAAAATTTCACAGTAACGAACACAGGAAAAGTGGCTAATAAGCCCACAGTCTTCCCGATTATGCAGAAGGCAAACCCGGCTTTCCTAGAGAACTTGGGCCTTGGTGTCGCCAGGGCCACTGGCAAGAAGAGTTTGGGGATCTTTGGCATTCATCTCTAGTGACATTGATGAATTGAGGACATGATGTTAATTGTAGAACTGAAATCCATAAATGTATAGTTATCAAAAGAAGTTAAACCAGGCACTCCCGCACTTAGGCAGACAGAAAGAATTGCCATGGGTTCTTGGTTAACTTCAGCTATACCGAGTACCAGGCCAACTGTAGCAACACAGAACCTGTGTCAAAAAAGGGGTAGGGGTGTTTCTAAACACAGGCTTCTGCCAACAGACTGCTTGCTCTCAAACCCCAGCTCTGTACTCACTGGCTAAACAGTTAAGACTTAACTTCATTTTTCTCTCTATAAAATGGAAATACAGTACCTATTTCACAGGGCCAAGTAAGGATTTAGTGAGTCAGCACAGGGAGAGCACGCGGGAAATTGCCTCATATTGTGAAAGCTAGCCAAGGCCTTCGCTACTACTACTGCTTTCTAAACAGTGAATTAAAGGGCTTATACAATAACCTTTAATAATTTCTGCTTGCTTTGAATTATATTTAAACATAATTTTCTTATAACTTTAAAAACCCGCATTTTTTTTCAGACTCATTTGGAAATAAGATGCAAACATTAGAAGTTTAACCTAAGACGAATGGCATTCATTCATCTAATCAGGACCTTCTTAAAAAGCTGGAACCATTCTCGGAGCAGCAGGCTGTGAGTGAAGCAGAGAAGCGGGCAGTGAAGGAAGTGCTATTCTGACCAGAGTGTACCTGGTTAGATAGAACAGCTGTGCGCCCCGGCGGGAGAGGGCGGCAGATCAAGGCCTTGCTGCTTACTTCTTTTAAAAGGACTAACAAGATTTAATAACAAACTATCTTTCTTTCATAGGGAGAAAAAATAAATAAATAAAAATACATGTCTCAAAGTATTAGAATCCAACAAAACAAGTTTACCCTGTTGAAACGCTTGGCTTGAAAAGTGTGGCCATTTGCACAGTAAAGCTTTCTCCACCGGCGGGCCCCTCTGCGGTAGATGGATTCTGGAGAGTGAGAGTTTAAAGAGCAAGTTTGAATAAAAGTCACTTAATTAAATCTGACTTTTCCATGATGTTTACCATAGTAACACAAACTAGAACTGAAGTGTAGAATGGGCTCGCTACAGGGCTGGCTGCAAACACACAGGGCACTGACACTGGAATAATTAGTACTGTTTTCTTCTCAAGAGATTCCCACCTAACACCTGAGGTAAACTGGAGCTCCTGGACAAGCTAAAAGAGTAAATGTCTGCATCCTTTACCCGATTCACAAGGTACTTACTCTTTTGTTATATCTAATATCTTCTTGACAAATACAAACAAAAACAGTCTTTTTGTCCCCGCAGAATGATTCGAAAATGCAGTGTCTGAAACTAATGACATTCACTCTAGCCATCCATAACACAATATAACCTCTGCATCTTAGAGAATTAACTCAGTAGAAAGCGCAGATACAAACTCTTTCTTAACGGTTCCAAAACTGTCTTTCAAAGCTGTCATGTCCTACACAGGAGCAAATCACAATTCAGGCATTGCATTTGGTTTCTTTGGTTTGGCTGTCTGGTTGGTTGGTTTTCACGTCTAACATACTCAAAACCATGCGCTCTGCTTTACTCTTCACTTCTTAGGCAGTATTTTTGTGTTCCACACCCCAGGTTACAGAGTCTGCCTCTTCACAGTCAAGAGTTAGTGCTAAAACTTTGAGCAAATGCAAGGCGGTGGTTGCGCGGTGGTAGTACACACCTTTAATCCAGGCACTAGAGGCAGGTGAATCTCTGTGAGTTCAAGGCCAGCCTGGTCTACAAGAGCTAGTTCCAGGACAGCCAGGACTGTTATACAGAGAAACCCTGTCTTGAAAAACCCAAATAAACCTTTGAGCAAAAATATTCTAGAGATGCCTTTAAAGAGGAGAGGGGCCAGAGGAATGTCTCTGCTGTTGAGTGGACCTCGCTGCTCTGACAGGACTAGAGTTCAGTTCCCAACACCTCGTCAAAAGCAGCTCACAACTGCCTGTAACTCCAGTATGGCGGCGTAAGCACACAGGGGCGGGGGATCAAATGTTCTCTGCTTTTCAGGCATCGGCACTGGTATGTGCACACGCACAATTAAAATAAAATCATAAGAGTGTTGATTTTCTTATGGCATGCCATCAGAGGCACACAAACATCAGATGTCAGCGCCCACCACGACAGACACCTCCACAAGGACCGACTCTGCATCTCTTCTTCACTGGAAAGGTACATCTTCATGAAAGTTAATCTGTAAGTGATACTTCTATATAACTCCATCTACAACAAGCTTTCATCCTTTTTGGTCTGTTTTTGGTACAATACTGGGTGTTGAACCCAGGACCTCACACGTGTTACATAAACATTCTACCACACAGTCACGGGTCTGGCCCACTCCAAAGTTTTTATATAATTGCTATTATCCTTTTTTAACTTTTAAAAACATTTGTCAGTGTTTGGCTTGCATGTATGTATGTATACCATGTGCTTGCCTAGTATTCTGGAGGTGAGATGGGGGGATTGGATTTCCTGGAGCTGGAGTTACAGATGATTCTGAGCTACCACAAGGGGCCAGGAACTGTACCCAGGTCCTCTCAAAGAGCCATGTCTCCAGCTCCCACAAACACTTGCAGAGCTGGGGATGCAGCCAGGGCCTTGCACACTAGTGGAGTCCTGCAGCATGACCCCTGAAACTAAACACAGGTGTTTGTGTTTGTGCTACATTATCTAGTGAGGGCCAGCACATGTTAACTTACCAGATGCTCTTATGAATTAGATTATATACCCTAAATTTAAATATTTTACTGCTGTCGAAGAACTTAAAGGGCCAAGAGACCTCAGTCATGGTTATCAATTTTCCTCTCTAGTTTAACATTTATTTGACTGGGGAAAAGGTGGTGTCAGACCTCCACCACCACTTTGAAAAGGTCAATGAGTGTGCAGTGTAACAGGAAGCATTTTACCCAGAAATCATGCCATATGCCTACAGTAGCTTTCCACGGGCACAGAGTCCTGCACGGGGTGTGCCAGGGTCAACTCTGTTAACAGTGGCTCTAGGCTCTCTCCAGAGCTCTGCAAAAACAGTCAACACAGCTTTAACTCTCCTTCCACGAGAACCCCAGCAAGATGCTGTGAGCTGAAATCAAACCTGGGTTTTCACTACTGCCCGGGTGTTCTGCCCATTCCTTCTATTTCCCCATCTTCCTATGTGACACATTACATAGGAAATAAATAAATCTTATAGCTCTTTGTTTTCCCTGTTCACTGAAGAGCATTAAATCATAAAATCAGAAGCTTAGACTGGGAAATTTCATATAATTCTGATATTTTATTTATGTTTTAGTACATAAAGCTTGCCTAAAGATCAGAAGGGCAAAGCTAAACCACTAGATGTCGGGCAGTGGTGGCACACACTCCCAAAATTTGGGAGACAGAGGCAGATGGATCTCTGTGAATTCAAGGCTACCCTGGGCTACACAAGGTCAATGCAGAAACAAATCCAGGTGGTGGCGGCTCACATCTTTAATCCCAGTATTAGGAAGTCGCACTATCTTAATTCCAGCACTAGAGGGAATATAAAATGGGAGAGAAAGGCTAATTCTGCTTAGTCTGTGGTCGCCCAGTGCTGGTACAGGTAAGACTTCTCTAGTGGCTTGGCTGCTTTGCTTTTCTGGTTTTTCGGGTTGAACCCCAATATCTATCTCTGGGTTTTTATTATTTGCGTTGCATAATTCAAAGCAAAACATTCATTACTTTTCTTTCTGAAGTCATGTTTATGTGTAGAAACCATAAAGGAAAATGAGGCCCTATAACAATCCCTAACAATGTGACATCTACAGAGGTATCTAGAAGTGAAGTACCAGGACACTTATTCTCACATTATACAGCAAGCCTAAGCAAACGAATGAACGTAATGGTGGTTCACTGGACTCGGAAGTCGCCTATGTATGCACACAAGCAAGCACAGTGGCAAACAGACTATGTTAAGCTTCGTTAAATCTGAACAAGTGATTTGTAGGTATCCTTTTTTCCAAGATGTTTTGAAATTTCCAGATCTGAAAATATTCAAAATTAAAAAAACATGAAGCCACATGACTTAATTTAACTGTGTTTTTATATGCACAACAGACAATTATGTAAGATGTAGCTAGATGAAGTCCATTTGGCAAAAGCACAGCTTAGGCAGTTGCTAATATGTTCTAAATTAGACAAGAAACAGAATAAGTCGAACAAATTAAAAGTTCTATTTCTTAAGGCAGGCATGGTGGCACATATCTTTAATCCCAGCACTTAGGAGGCATGGGCAGGTGAACCTCTCAGTGGAGGCCTGGTGTAGGAGTCCTTCTGTCTGTGTGTTGCTTTCACTGGTTAATAAACTGCCTTGGCCTGTTGATAGGGCAGAATTTAAGTAGGTGGGGAAGACGGAACTGAATCCTGGGAGGAAGAAAGTAGAGTCAGGGAGACACCATGGATCTGCCCCCAGAGATAGACGTGCTGAATCTTTGCCAGTAAGCCACTGTCACGTGGCGATATACAGATTAATAGAAATGGGTTAAATCAAGATGTGAGAGTTAGCTAATAAGAGGCTAGAGCTAATGGGCCAAGCAGTGATTTAATTAATACAATTTCTGTGTGGTTATTTCAGGGCTAAGCTAGCTGGGCAACCAGGACAAACAAGTGGCCTTCCAGTTACAGAGGCCAGCCTGGTCTACAAAGCAAGTTCCAAGACAGTCAGAAACTTTGTCTAGAAAAACAAAACAAAAAGTTCTGTTCCTTTTTACTATGAGTAATTCGAATTTCAAGTGTACAGAGTATTAGAAACACTCACTGTCTTCTCCTGGGCAAGGCATTCCAGGACGTTCTGGTACACAAGGAAATACTGAAAGAAATTTAAATTAGTTAACAGCATATTTACAAAATACAAACTATACAGAATTAAAATTAATCCAAAATTCAAAGTGACTTGAGTTACCCAAGGTAGAATTCCAACACATGACCAAAATTAGTCTACTGAAGGCTCTCACTTTTACCAAGCCTATATATAAAGCAACTTTCTGTGAAAACAAATATGACTGTAAGTAACACATTAGAAGCTCGATTTACTAATTCCTGACCCTTGTGAATAATCACTTTTTCTTCTTTTGGGCCTTAAAGAAGCTAACTAATACTTTTTAACGTCCTTGTTGTAGAAAACTTTGTTTCAATAAAGAATTAAATGACAAAAATCAAAGTTTTTTAAAAGATGTGTACTCAATTTAGGAATGAATTAATATCAGAAATAGTATCAAAATCCCCAAAATATTAGCTTATATTCCAGACTATATATTTACAAACATACCATATAAAGCATATAATTCTCATTATAATGAGAAACATCTTTTTAACTAACTGTACTCTGATGAATAATGGCCATAATTGAGTTAAGAGCACTCAGAACAGGAAACTGTGCTAGGCAAGTACTCTATAACTGAGTTAACTCTCACTGTGTAGCCCTGGACCACAAGATCCTCCTGCTTTTATCTACCTGGATAACTGATTGTTTCTCTAACATTTTAACATTTTATACTAGAAAAGGGTAGTCCCCTGCCCGGCACACACGTGCACACACACACACACATGTGCACACACACACACACACACACTCGCACAGAGACTTCTAAAGCCGTACAGGAACTGTTGTAAGTTGTAAAACAATGGGAGATCACATTTGAATATCCTGGAAGACTATAGCCAGATAATACATTTCTCCTACTCTATAGGAAGTAGGCTCATTTTACTTCATCTAGCACAGGAAAAAGAAGCTAGAGGACAATTACATAGGAAAGAAGCCACACATAATAAATGATACCTAGATTGCCTTTAAAGAGTCAATTAAAAAAACAGTTATGTTTAAGTCACAGCTTTGGGAGAGTCAGCAGATAGTTCTCTTACCATGGATCAAGAGCTCAGAGTCCTTGTTCAGTTCATAGAGCCTGAAAGCTTCTTCTAATTCCAGCTGAGAAGACACTGTGCACGGATCTCCTAAAACACAAAGGAAAACTCAGTCTTCACCCTCTGAGTTGGATAACTGTAAGCAAATTCTATAATTACAGTAATGGAAGGAGCGCTGATGAGGACAGATGTTTAGACACTTCCTTAAACCTACATTCTCTGTGGTAGATGACATCACATCCAGTTCTAGCTGCACATCCAGTTCTGGCTGCACAGAATCAAACAGAGGGCCCAGACACCACATTTTCTACATATAAAAACCACTCTGAGCCAGGCGGTGGTGGCACACGCCTTTAATCCCAGCAATCTGAGGCAGAGGCAGGTGGATCTCTGTAGTTCAAGGCCAGCCTGGTCTACAAGAGCAGTTCCAGGAAAGGCTACAAAAAAATACAGAAAAGCCTTTCTCAAAAAACCACTCTGTACTGTATGAATGTGCATGTGTGTCACGTGCACGCACGCACATATACATACACAGTAGCAAACCTACTCTGACTACCTTCAGGCTGACACGGCTCACTTAGATGGGGACGTTTAGGAGCCAGTCTGTTGCCTCCTCCTTCTCCTTAGTATTGTGGATGGAGCCCAGGACCAAGCCTGGCAAGCACTCTAAGCCCTACCCCTGTTTTGCTCTGTTTGGGGATAGGGTCTCAATAAATTACTCGGGCTGGCTGGCCTCAAACACATAATCCTCCTGCATCAGTCTCCCAAGGTCTATACCACCAGGTGTGATACCAGTTTCCTTAAAAGAGGAGTAAAAGTGTAAGACTTTAAGACAATCCTGAAGCCATTTTTGACAATTCTGAATCCTCTCAGCCTCTGTGCCATAGTGCTTCCCCTCCTCCCCTGGGAACCAAGGACCTAACAGCTACACTCGCACGTACTCAGTTCCTGAACAATTACCCATATACGTATGCTTTGGTTCGGTCCCTCGGCTTCCCGAATGCTGGGGGACCCTGTCATGACAGAATTAATAAAATCCTCATGCTTTTGCATCGGCTATAGTGTGTGAGATGGTCTCTGGGGGCGACTCCNACAACCCCCCTTGCTTCTGTGGCCCCTTTAAAAGTAGACTGTACCCGCTATTCGAGGTCCCTCGGCTTCCCGAATGCTGGGGGACCCTGTCATGACAGAATTAATAAAATCCTCATGCTTTTGCATCGGCTATAGTGTGTGAGATGGTCTCTGGGGGCGACTCCCTCTCGGTGTTTGGACGCCAGAGTCCAACAAAAGCAGCTGCACTGCCATACTGTGGCTGGTTGGGATCTTTCTCTAAGGAGCGACTTTGTCAGAGATTTTCTCTCACATTACAGCACTGCTCAGTCAAGTCACAGGGAAGAAAACACTAAAGCACCCTGGACTAAGATAGTCCAGCTTGAGCCATTTTAAAAAACTTTTTTAGATTGATTTATTTGATTAAGCATTTTGCTTGCATAATATATGTGTACCACATGTGTGCCTGTGGCAGTCAGAAGGCATCAGATCCCCTGGAACTGGAGTTCCAAACAGTTGTAAGACACCTGTGGGTGCTGCGAATTGAACCTGGGTCCTTCGCAAGAGCAGCAAGGGCTCTGTGCTGCTGAACCATCTCAGCAGCCCCCACTTTTGCACACATATAAACAATGCATCCAGAGAGTGTGCACTCCAACTGCACTTTCCAAGGGGCCCCCAACTCTTCCTCCATTCTTCCCAGGCACCCCAACAGATCCCTATTCCCTTTCATGTCTTCTTTTTTTGTTAACAGCCTATGAGCACTGTCTGCTGGAATGATGACTGATCTCGCTGACTCTCTCTTGTGTACGTAACCGTAGCTTTAGTGAGCCCAAAGACAGCACTCCACAGCACCACTCCCCATCCTGTCTCTCACATTCTTCGCACCCCTCCTCTGCCACGTTCCCTGAACCTTTGGTGAGAAGGATGTCACAGATGTCCTACTTAGGGATGGACACCCGCTTGAGTTACTCTTAAATGTTCAGTGCTAAATTTTAGTAACACGGACAAGGAGGAAGAAACACCTCTCCTGACTAACCAAAGTGCCGAGTCATTCCTGGAGTCAAGAGGTGACGTGTACAGCATGACACCATTCCTCAATGAACAAGTCACTTAGAGCAGAGCTGGGCCTGAGCTGGATCCGCCCCTGGCTGTGGTTACAGGAAACATTCCTCCATGCTAGATGCCATTGATTCTGTCTAATCTTCAATCACACTCAGTTTACAATGAGAGCAAAGGGAAGTCATTTCCTTTCCACGCTATCTCAAAGAAAACAGTGTCTCCATTCTTTTCTTCAACTCAGCTGTCAAAGCCTTAATCCCTTTATCTTTTCTGGGCATTTATAACTCACAGATAACTCACAGAGCCGTGAAAAGGAAGTTTTCAACCCACCAACTTGTAAGACAGTGTTACACAGAAATAGGTAACCAAACCAGAAACTGGAACAAAAGGAAAAGAATTTCATGGCCTTTTCCATCTAATGAAAGGCAGAAGATGGCAGTCATGGGCTGTTTGTGAAGCCCCGAGAACAGAAAAAATGATTGGAAAGTGAACAAAGTGTGACATCACTGTCACTGAAGGCAACATAGAAAATAATCCTAAAAACAGTGACTGGAATAAATCACAATAACTACATAGAAGGTTCAAAGTAGCAAAAGGCTTCTTCCTTTTTTTCTAAAGTATTCATTTTATTTTATGTGCGTAGGTGTTTGGCCTGCATGTGCATCTGTATGAGAACGTCAGAGCCCCTGGAACTGGAGTTACAGACAGGTGTGAGCTGCCATGTGGGTGCTGGGAACTGAACCTGGGTCCTCTGGAAGAGCACCCAGTGCTCTCAACTACTAAGCCATCCCCCAAAATGGTTTCTTTCAACCGCCTATGTAGATATGGATACAGAGAAATGTCAAGAATGGAATAAATAATTTTTGGTGAAACTTGGATTTCAAAAGTATCTAAAAGAAAAACCTTTCCCTGCCAAGTCTTTCTCAGTTTGAAAATAAAGCTGCCTCTCTCCTCCATTTCAATCTATAAGTCATAAAAATAAGAAACATACTAACAGCAAAGATCAGATTCATAGAGCTTTTAGTGAACACCAAGACTTCGTAAAAAATGGTGCATATGGGGCCAGGTAAGTGCGTTTGCCAGTTGCTGGCAGAGGCTGCTGGATCCCTGAGGGCTGCAGCAGTTACGGGCAGTTATGAGCCTCACCCCCCCCCCCCCATGGATGCTGCACTTGGTCCTCTATGGAAGCAGTTTTTACTCTTAACTGCTTAGCCACCTCACCATCTCTACACCAGGATCTTAGCTAAGCATAAGAGCCTCTCAAACCTCAGAAGCGTGTAGATGGGATCTTGTCTAATAGAGATTTATGTGGGTATGGATGCTACCTAATGGGGCAGTTTTAACTTTATTGTAGAAGGTCTACAATGCTCAAATGAACATGTGACTTCAACTCTGCAGGACAAAGTCTAAGCAAGTTACTGAACTACAAATGCCATGGTCTAGGAAAAGAGAAGGATGACTCAAAGCAATGTTAGTCCTGGAAGACCAACCACTTCCAGAGAACAGCAACGAGTTTCCCTGAGGAACGGTGGTATATGCTGTTTTAGCTCAGAGTCTCCCTTTTTGTGACAGGAGTAGGTACTGTACTTCTCTTGTCTCTAGTTTATTATGCAGTCAGTAGTCCACAGGTCTTCAGAACTAGCAGAGAAGCAATCAAGGAACCTAAACCACAGGTGGACAAGACAAAGAACAAGAGCATGTTTGGACTATGAACCTTTTGTCATAATGGATTAGGCTCTGGTGGTTTGGAGAGGTTATTAGCACTTCTGAATAACCATAAGGAAGCTGGAAAGTAAGTCATCACAGATAATATATTCAATCTCTTTCATTTTTCTTGAACTGAGTGCCTGTGTGTCACATGTGACCTTTCTCTGACCACGTTTGATAGGTAAAGCATTCTATATAAGTCATTATGAAACAAAGATAACCAGGAAAGCTACTTTTCAAAGCTAACTCTATCACCAAATCTAAATTTATAGAATAAACACAAATACATTCTTAGTATTTGCTCACTGCAGTTGACTTTGAGAGAATTAAGGGATTGATAAAACCCACATATTAATCGTTAGGTTGTTCTTGTTTTCAATAAACCTACTTTTTTTTCACCTATAAAAAGAAACAAATAATTAGGCTCTAAAAACTGTTGTTAGATATGAAATACCCAACTATTTGTAAAATAACCTGACAAAATGCAGAACACAAAACTTAGGTCACATGTTCATTATATTTAAATCCATATTCCACTTCCTGGCCCCCATTGGTTCATGGCCATATCATAATGCAAAATACATTTAGTCCAACTTCAAAACTCCCATAATCTAACATGGTCAACACTGTTTAAAAGTCCAAAGTTCAAAGTCTCTTCTGAGACTCAAGGCAATCTCTTAACTATAACTCTCCAGGAAAAAAATTTTCCAACATGTGATATATATTACCATTCAAAAAGGGAAGAATCAGGGCTGGAGAGATGGCTCAGTGGTTAAGATCATTGCCTGCTCTTCCAAAGGTCCTGAGTTCAATTCCCAGCAACCACATGGTGGCTCACAACCATCTGTAATTAGGTCTGGTGCCCTCTTCTGGGCCTGCAGGCATATACACAGACAGAATATTGTATACATAATAAAATAAATATTTAAAAAAAAGGGAAAAATCAGGACATAGTTAGGAAATACTGAAAAGTATAAATCTTTAGTGGCTCTGCCCTTCCAGCTTTGTTGCCTGCAAGATACTCATCTCTATTGGGCTGGTTCCACTCCCCGCGATCTCCTTGGGAGAGAACCCATGGCTCCAGTACTTATAACATCGTGGTGTCTCCAATACAATCCAGGCTTCCCTTTCAGAACTTCACACAATGGCATCTCGGGGTTTCCATGCAGGGACTCCCCTTGCCACACGCCAGGCCTCAGGAACTCTCCTTCACCGTGGAGGAAGATTCCCTACACCTTTCCTCATGTATTTCTCATGACTCTAAAACCAGAACCGTAAGGACAACAGTGCCAAGTTCAGATGCCCATTTGGTAGCCTGGTCCTCGCCTTGAATCACCTTTGCAGAAACTTTCCTTGTAGCCTCTTAAAAGCAGAAAATTCAGCCGGGCAGTGGTGGCGCACGCCTTTAATCCCAGCGCATAGGAGACAGGCAGGTGGATCTCTGTGAACTCAAAGCCAGCCTGGTCCACAGAGTGAGTTCCAGGACAGCCAGGACTACACAAAGAAACCCTGTCTAGAAAAACAAAAACAAAAAAAGGGCAGAAAATTCCTCAGGCCCTTTCTTTTCCTAAGTTGGAAGCTTAGCTGGGTAGGGTCTTGCCCTGTGTGGACCAGGCCTCTCCTTAATCCCCTTATCTCTTAGCACAAGCCTCAACTCCAACATTCAATTTCCTCCCCCTCTTTTTTCTCTTCATACTGTAGTTTTGTATTTCTTTTTGTCTCACTTGCTATTTTTCACCGTAGACCTGCATAAGAGTGATTACTAATAATGACATGACAGCTAATATCATGTCCTGAAATGTCCTTCATGAAATTTTCTTTGCAATTTAACCTCAGGCAAAGTCTTAGGACTACAGTGTGGAATATTCCTTTATACTCTGGACATATGTCCCTGTGATTGGCTTAATAAAGAAACCTATGAAGCAGGACAAGATAAGGTTAGGGGGAGAGTCAAACGGAATCCTGGGAAGAAGGGCGGAGTCAGGAGCTGTGAGAGCTGCAGAGCAAGCAGGAGATAAACATGCCATGTCAAAAGAAGGCACCGCCACATAACAGAGGGTAGATAAGAAATAGGAGCTAATTTAAACGTAGGAGTCGGCTAGCAACAAGCCTGAGCTACTGGCCAAGCATTTATAATTAATATTAAGTCTCTGTGTAGGTTATTTGGGAACTGGTGGGCAGGAAAGAAACTTCCCACTACACCACAGCAGAAGCCACATTCTTTTGTCAAAACATCACAAGAATAGTCTCTAGCCCAGTTTTTAATATTGTTTCTCTGAATGCTGGGCCTATATAATCCATATTGCTCTCAGCAATACTGTTTTGCAAGATCCTACCAGGAGGCCTATTTAACCCAGCCTACAACATTCAAATAACTTTTCTAGACCAAAATCCCAGTCTTCTAAAAACAGGTCAGGCCTGTCACAGCCTCAGTACCATTGCTAGAGGACCGGGCTGCTATTCCCAGTAACCACATGCCGGCCAACAGCTCTCTGTAATTCCAGGTCCAGGGGACCCAGGGCCTTCTTCTGGCCTGTTCAGACACTGGACACACATGATGCAGAGACACACATGTAAGCAAAACACCTACTCACATTAAACACACACACAAAGGAAAGGCATAATACTGCATCTCATAATCATATATTCCGTCAGTTAAAAATAAAAAATTTAAAACTATGCAGAAAACTAAAACAAAAGAAAGTAAAATAAAAATCCTGTCTACCATTCGCTGTTCTATGTAAGAGCATATGGCAGTAATGGTTACACAGTTACTATTCACCTGAAATGTTTTGCTACTAAGGGTGATAGCTCACATAAGGAGACCAAAGAAGGGGTCACTGCAAGCTCCATATCAGCCAGGGCCACATAACAAGACCTGCCTTTATTTAAACAAAGAAGAAAAAAGTCAATTTAGGGGCTGGAGAGGTGGCTCAACAGTTAAAAGCACTTGTTGCTTGTTATTCTTGTAGAAGTTTATTTCCTGGCACCACAACCTTCTGCAGCCAGTTCCTCCAGGGGGATCAGATACCCTCTTCTGGTCTCCTTAGGCACCAGGCACACATGAAGGCAGTGGAGGGTGAGAAGCCTGAACTCAGTGTCCTCAAACTGAGGAAGCTGCCCATTCTATCAATCTATCAGCCCTGGTCCTTAACAGAACCCTGTCTAACACTGCGATGAGCCTCTTGAGTGTGAGGACAAGCAATGTCTATCCTCAAACAGTTCACAGGACGTCGTGGGTACAAGTCACTAACACTGCCCTGAAGTAAAATGACCACAATCGCTATGACTGCGCCGACATTTTCTTTACGGTACATTCAGTTAAGAACAAGTAAACTCTTATATTAAAATATAAGACATTTATAATCAAAATTAAGTTACAATGTCACACCAATAAAACATTTGCCTTACTTCATTTTGGAGAGGGAAAGGCAAAGACTGTGCACTTTGATTTAAATCTTCTATCTTAATCTAAGTACTCAAGTGTGGCATTAAATTTCTACTTTATCTTTCTCTCGACTTTCCTGGGACTCTTACTTCATCTAAAAGCAAATGCGCACACAGGTAGCACCCCATCCCCCAGTCACTCACCTTCCTCGTCTATCCATTTCATGGTGAACGGCTGTTCATTGTCAAAAGAACACATATCTCGGACCTCACTGCAAAGTCCCTCAAAGGAGATGGAAGGCTCAAAGTGTGTTATCATAATGTCCCTGAAAAAGAAAAAGTTTCATGTTTAAAGTCATACTGATCTACAAGTGACTGAACACCTGATGACAGACTAGTTATTCTGTATGTACATGAAAAATTAAAACATTAATGAAATAAAATTACAGTACAAAAAAACAACAGATTTATAGGAAACCTTAACTCAATGTCCTGTCACTGAGAAAGCCGCGCTCACTGTTCCGCCACTTCCACAAGGCCTTCCACCTCCACAACCACACTCTACAAGCATTTGCCTTGTACTCATCTAAACTCTACTTCAAACCCCATCCCCAGATTTTCTTACCCCCAAAAGTCTACCATTCATTTAGAGACCGTCCTTCTGTTACCCTGGCTCCCTTAGCCTTGACTTACACAAATAACCCACCATAAACCTGTCAATCATTCTTTGTACAGCATGAGTTCTACATTTCTTATTTCATTTTCAGCTTTTCCCCAAAAAACTTGTTTTCCAAAAATATCTTTAAGGTAACTTCCTTTAGTATAGGTAATCTTCCTCCCCAATCACAGGAATACATTTTTAATAAAAGTATTAATAAATATATAAAAATAGTAAACAATATCTATTATTGCATTAATATATTAGCACTAGACGAACCATTTAAATCCAACAAGCAGCTAATGACTTAACTTGCTGAGTGTTTTCTAATAGAGGCCTTGTGTGCCCCTCTAGGCAGCCTCTCCATAGCGGCCACTCAACACAGCACTCTGTGCTGGACCGGCTTTAAGGTTTTTATAGAATTAACACAGTCCATGACTTCCTGCTGCACATCCATGTGCGTCTACTATGCAGAGTCAGAGTTAATGTCCCTAGGTAGCTGGGATGGTTAGCTTGGCTGTGGATGTGGGAAGAGAGGCCTGAGGACCAGTCTAGCTTAGGCTGGTCTGGAGACATGCCTGGGAGGGATTTTCTTGGCTGAACTGACTAATGAGGTGGGATAGACTGAGAAGCAGAGAGCTGGAAGGAGCCCTTTCTCCCCAGGTTGCTTTATCAGGGTATTGTATCATAGCATCCGGTCTACAGCCCGCAGAGCCGTCCCATGGGCGAGATAAAGCATGTGTTTCTAGTCTACCCTCTGTCCCAGTCAGAGTACAATTAAACTTGGTGTAAGCAAATGCTGAGACATTTTCTTCACGATATCCCTGAGGGCAATGCAGGACAGGATGAATACCTAACTGTCAAAACTTAGCTCTGACCTCAACATAGGGAAGGATAGATAATTCTAGAGACAAATATCAGTGCCATGACCACGAAACACAGACTCGAGTTACCCCAAATCCCATGTTCAACATGGTAACATTTTCATGAAGTTAAATCAAATCCACACTTCAAACACATGGTGGGACATCAGAGAGCTGACTCCCAGCAAAGCCGGACATCTCTGCTGTCAGCCTAGATGCTCGCTGATGACACTCTTATTTAGCTCTCGGCATGAACGTAGTGGCCAGTCAATACATCTCAAAACGTTTCACTCATTAGACACCAGGATGCTAGGTTAGACAGAGATGGATAAGGAGTGATTATTTAGGGAGCTAAAAGCAGCCCAAGATAAACTCTTCCTAGGTTCTGGACCTGCAACATGACAACCTCTCCAGTTACCCAAGACCTCACCAGGGGATCAGGCTCGTAGAAGGTTTGGGGGAAGGTACTGTTCTTTCCAGGAACTTTAACTCAGACAGTAAAGAAAAGGAAATGACAATAAAGAGGAGCTGTGACTAGTGGGCAGCAGAAATACAGAACACAAAGGATCTTTTGTAACTATTAACACAGCAGCCACTAGCTATCTGCCTAAAGAAGAGACAGCTACAGTTAGCTAGAGAAGGAAGCAGAGAGCAAAGCAGACCGGGAAATCGAGCGACCTCTCTGGACCTGCCAGCATCAGAGAAGCTTCCTCCTGCAGCAGATGGGAACAAATACAGAGACCCACAGCCAGACATTAGGCAGAGAGTGGCAGACCTTGGAACACTAATCCATAAAGGGGACATCTCCATCAAATCCTGGTGTAGGAGGGTCTTCTTTCTATGTGCTGCTTTCATTGGTCAAATAAAGAAACTGCCTTGGCCTTTTGATAGGGCAGCCCTTAGGTGGGTGGAGTGGACAGAACAGAATTCTGGGAGGAAGAGGGCAGAGATAGAGAGCCGCCATGGAGCCAGCTGCCAGGTCAGACAGGCTGAATCTTTCCTGGTAAGACCCGGCCTCGTGGTGACATACAAATTATTAGAAATGGGTTGAACCAAGATGTGAAAGTTAGCCAATAAGAAACTAGAGCTAATGGGCCAGGCAGTGTTTAAATGAATACAGTTTGTGTGTTATTTCGGGGTATAAGCTAGCTGGGCGGCAGGGCACAGCCCACAGCTCCATTTACTACAGAGTCCCTCCCCTCAGGACTCAGGGAACTGAGGAAATTGAGGCAAAAGAGTGTAAGAGAAAGAAGGGAAGGAAGGCATCAAGAAACTAAGGCCTTCTAAGCACAACAGGGCTGGCACACATACGAACTCAGAGACTGTGACAGCATGCACAGGGCCTGCACAGGTCTACACCAGATGGGGTCCTAGAGCTGAAAAGTGGACACACTGCCCCCACCCTAACCTAGAAGCAAGCTCTGATTGCCACTTGCAAACCAAAAATTAGTTTTCTTCAGGGGAGTTTCACTGGGAAACTACTCTTAAGGGTAGACCCCACAGCAATAGATGGTGATCACAAGACTAACAAGTCGAGGTCTTTTGTGTACATATTATGGCTTCTGGTTTGGGGTTTTATGGGATCCCTGTGTCTTCCAACATGTGTGTGTCTGCATCTATGCATTTCTTCAGCATTTCTTTGGCTCTTTTTCATATTTATTTTACCATATTTGATTTGTTTTTTATTTATCTTACTATATTTTATTATTATCTACTTTTTAGATGTCTGTCTTTTTCTCTTTTTCTTTCTTTGTTTTTCTTTTTCTTTTTTGTTTTTTTTTTTTTAAGACAGAGTCTCTCTGCGTAGCTTTGGAGCCTGTTCTGGAACTTGCTCTGTAGATCAGACTGGCCTCGAACTCAGATATTCACCTGCCTCTGCCTCATAAGTGCTGGGATTAAAAGTGTGTGCCACAACCACCTGGCTAGGTGTCTATTTTCTAAAGAAGACAGAAAGGGTATGGATGTAGATAAGAACTGGGGAGGAACTGGGGGGGAGTGGAAACCATAATCAAACTATACTGTATGAAAAAAAATCTATTTTCAAGCAAAGAAAAATAGATGATTTTTCATATACATTTTAATAACCCCCTTCCCTAACACCTCCCACATCCTCCCCACCTAGCTTCACATTTTTTCTCTCCAAAACAACAATAAAAAAATCAAATCAAAACAAAACAAAATAAAAAACTATTAAGATGAAATATCAAAACAAAAAGCCTGCAAACACCAATCACTGAGTCCATCTTGCTTGGCCAGCTACTCCAGGGGATGGGGCCTGCCCTGGAGTGTGGCTGACAGACCCCATGGCAATGTTCATTGGAGAAAACTAATTTTCCCTTTCCCAAAAGTTATTAGCTGTAAATAGCTTCTTAATTGGGGCGGGACTTTGCATCCACTTCCCCTCCTCAGTGCTAAGATTTTGTGTGCCTTTGTCAGTCCTGCTATGTCCGGAAGACACAATTTCCTTGGATTCACCCACTTCATCTGGTCCTTGAAGGAAGGAATTTGATAAAGACATCCCATTTTGGAACTGAGTGTTCCAAAGTCTCTTGCTCTCTACATTTTGACACAAGACATTCTTGGTGATATTCATCTGGCCTCTTCTTCCTCCCTTCCTCCCACACCACCTCTGGAACTTAGTTCATACTCTATGCTTTGCCCATTATCTCTACACACACATCTTCTGTGTTACAACTGCCACATTTGACTCTAGACCTTGCTCTAACTTCTTTTTTCAACTTGATCATACATTCCCAATACACATAACTACAATAGACACTAGTTTACTCACAACCCTACATTATAGTCTAATTCTGACAGTTGATAAGAAGCATTATCAACATCACAAATATATCAACCACACAATGTCTTATAACTCTAAAACTATCTTACATTCTTTTTACTTAATTCATATTTTAATAATATATCTACAACTAAGTTAAAAAAACAACTAAAAGCTAAACTTCTTGGATACATATTCATATTGGCTCTTTGTTTGTTTGTTTTTAGAGACAGAGTTTCTCTGTGTAACAGTCATGGAACTCATTCTGTAGACCAGACTGGCCCTGAACTCACAGAGATCTGCCTGTCTCTGCTTCCCGAGTGCTGGGTTTAAAGGTGTGCGCCACCACCACCTGGCTTCATACTCCTAAGCTCAAGTATCTTGAATGTACTGTAGTAATGTAGGAAGTGATAAAAGTTTCTATAGAAAATCATTTTCCATCAAATACACTTTTTACAATGGAGTACTTTATTATAAACATTCACAAAACACTTCGTCTTGTTTCTTTCTGATAGGGTCTCAAAAAGTGGCCCTGGCTGTCCTGGAACTTGCTCCATAAAATACTCTACCTCCTGAGTGCTAGGATTAAAGGTGTGGGCCACCACATCCAACAATACACACATATGTTTAGGCAACCATATCTTATTCAAACTTTGTAATTATCAATCTAAACATTAAGGCCCACCTGACAGATTTTGAAAGACAAAAATCACAGAGTCACGACAGTATATGGCAGTAGCAAAAGAACTCATTTTCAAATCTGAATCTAAAAAATCCTGTAACTGATGCTGTGCTCCGAGCTGCTCTCCTCAGCATCCAGGACCCCACCCCCAGTCAGTACTGGAGAAGGTGATTTCTGCTGCCACCATTACACCATCCGTTATCAGCCCCTTCAAAATCTGACTCCTTGCCTGCAGTCACAGATGCACCCCATTCTCCAACAACCGTAGGGAATATAAAGGCCTTAGATGTGCCAACTCATCCTGTAAGGGTCTGGAATGCTGACATTTCAGTTTCAACTTC